AGAGTGTGTGAATTTTCAGTGCAAATTTGTCCTTGTCTAAAGAAAATCGGATAAACTTGAAAGAAAAACACCTTCAAACTTTGAAAATTTTTTAAGATAAAACATTCTTCAAATACGTCGTCATCAATGACGTCATTGGTCGTCATGGACAACGCCATTGTAATCCGGGAACTTGAAAGTAGTTCTAATGGCGGACTTTGTCATACAGCCGAGATTTGATGTAGGGTACTGGAATCTGTTGAGGTTTGCCGAGTGTAGATAAGAGAACACGAAAGAAAAATAGAAAAAGTCCGTGCATTATGGAAGATCAAATGCGACAATATTCATGATTCTTGTTTCTACATTCCAGTTTGAACATTTCAGACACTACCGCAACATTCTAAATTAATGATTCTTGTTTCTACATTCTTATGTCAACGTTTCATGCACAAAATCAACATTTTAAACAAAAAATTGACTTTATGTTTCATTTTCGGCGTTTTATCGGTAACTTTTATATATAATTAGATATTAAGATTAAAAAATAATTTCTTAATTTTACACGACAAAGAAATCAATTCATTGGTTTCTGAAAGTATCTAAAAAAAATCTGGAATTTGAACTCTTATTAAAATATTTTCTACGTTTCAAAAAGTCTTGAAGTTAAAATCTTGAAATGAAAAAGTCCAGAAAAATATAATGAATTATCAACATTATTACACCAGAGGGCGTTAGCGTTTGTGTACATTTTTTTTTATAAATCAACACTTTTTATGAGAAAAGTTTCTCGGCCGTGTACTTTATCCTTTATCGTCAGATGTGGGACAGGATTTGGCACTAAAAGCACGATATAGACATTATGTGATATCACAATTAATGCTTTGCATCCATGAAATTGAATCACAATGTCATTGTATTAATTCATAATGAAAATTGTCGTCAAACGAGGTGTTGCATTCCTCTGTTTAAAAAGCTCAATGTGTATGTATATACCCCAAAATGACGATAGAGGCAATGCGGGAGGGGGGGATACATTGTCTCATGAACCTGGCAAACCCCCTCCTGCAAAAATTCCTGGATCCGCCCCCGTATAGATGAAATAATAATTTTTGTTTTCACTTTACCCATCTTCCCGAAAGGTCAGATTGCCTGGACCGCCCATCCCACCCTTCCGCCCCCAGTGCTTTAGCCAGAATCATATTTCATTAAAAAAAAATTCCATGCCCTTGTTCACCTAGCTATGGTGGCTGATAGTGGCCATATTAAATCTTGCCCTTTTCATAGCGCGACAACACGACATCACGACAGTATTGACGCAATCATACGACACTTAACTCTGTCGTATCATCGTGTTATTTTTATCGTAACGTCGAGATGTCGACTTATTGTCCTAGTCTCTTTCTACAAGTCACAAAAATACAGCTGTACTCATTACATCAGATACATATAAATAGAAACATATAAATAAGACTCGTCAAAAGAGATAATAGGAAAACGTTGATTCGTTTTCTAAAAAAAAATGAAACTTTTTGCGCCCAAAATTGAATTATATTTGGTATTATATTCAAAAAATCTAGAATTATAATAGCAGGACAAAAGTGAGTCAGCTATGTTAATTCCTTGAATAAGAAGTGGTGTCGGTAGGTATCGAACAAGTATGCATTGCCTCGTGTACGACACCCACCAATACTTATAGATTACTGAAGCGATAGTTTAGAAGCGATTTCAGAAGATTTCCAATTTATTTTATTAGAGTGGGAAGGGGATTATATAAAACCTCAAACCAGACCACATAAAATCACCGCTTGGTGTAGCACGCCATCCCAATTAGTGCAGGGGAGGTTTTTTATGAGGTGAGGAAAGCGATTTGCAGCTGTTATTGACCTTATCTCATATTCATCCGTTTGGCATCACTAATGGGATCGGGGCCTAGATGATTAAAAATAGGCCCAGTATTGCCTTCAGCTATGAACACACTCCGAAAGTCCCCTACGCACCCCCCCCCCTCTTATTTTGTTTAACAAATAATTTCGGAATCAATAAAATGGTAGGTCCCTATCAATGATGTTTGATACGACTGGAAATTAATGTGTCTAAAATTGATTAAACAACATAGGGTAGTAAATATTACATTTTGAATCCGTATCAATGATACATTTACTCAAAATGTTCCTTCCAATGGATCACCATTTAACTTGAAAACAAGGGAAGCAGCCGATCGAAGACAAAAATATTTTAAAAAACAAGTTTCAATATGATAGTAGTGGTTCGGTCATGCATTTACATCTGTGGGTGTCATCCTTTCTTTGAAAGTAATGATTGTGCCAGATTTGAACAAAGTCCATCTAGATTCGCGGCCTGTAGGTAAAGTGTTGACAGATAAAACGTAAAAAAAAACCCCAGACCTATAAAAATATATTTTCTAAAACTATTTTAATTTTGAAATTATATTATTTTCACATGTGCTAAGTGTTTTAGTGAATAGTTATAGAAAGGGTCTTGTAGATTAAGACTATAGCGCATGTGCACTGTGCAGTTTTAAACTTCCGAGACGACAAGTCGACAAGTCGATGATACGACAGTTTCGCTTTTTGTCGTGCCGTCGTATCATCGACTTGTCGTGGCGATAAGTCGATGATACGACGGCACGACAAAATCGGGTCGATGACACGACAAAATCACGCGATCTTACGACAGTTTGTTCTGTCGTAAGATCGCGTGATTTTGTCGTAAGATCGTGTGATTTTGTCGTGTCGTCGTATCATCGACTTACAGTTGCGATAAGTCGATGATACGACGGCACGACAAAATCACACGATCTTACGATAAAATCGGGCGATCTTACGACAGAACAAACTGTCGTAAGATCGTCTGATTTGTCGTATCATCGACCTTATTTTGTCGTGCTGTCGTATCATCAACTTATCGCCACGACAAGTCGATGATACGACGGTACGACAAAACACTAAACTGTCGTATCATCGACTTGTCGACTTGTCGTCTCGGAAGTTTAAAATGCACATGCGTTATAGTCTTTATCTACAAGACCCTTCTATAAATATTCGCTAAAACACTTAGCACATGTGAAAACAATATAATTTCAAAGTTAAAAGAGTTTAAGAAAATATATTTTTATAGGTCTGGGGTTTTTGTTTTTGTTTTTTTTTTACATTTGATCTGTCAACACTCTACCTACAGGCCGCGAATCTAGATGGAATTTGTTCAAATTTGGCACAATCATTACCTTCAAAGAAAGGATGGCACTCTCGGAGGTAAATGCATGACCGAAGCACTACTGTCACATTGAAACCTGTTTTTTTTTTTTTAAAAATCTGTTTTCTTCGATCGACTTTTCCCTTGTTTCAAGTTAAATGATGATCTATTGGAAAGAACGTATTGAGTAAATGTACGTTATCACTAATATGGATTCAATATGTAATATTCCTCATATTGTTTAATCAATTTTTTGACATATTATTTTCCAGTTGTATCAAACATCATTGATACCATTTTATTGATTCTGGAATTATTTGTAAAACTAAATAAGAGACGTGGGGTGGGGGTATGAGGCTTTTAGAGTGTGTTCATAGTTGAAGATATTACTGGGCCTATTTTTACTCATCTAGGCCTCAATCCCATTAGTGATGTCAAACGGATGCAAGCCTATATGCGATAAGGTCAATAACGGCTGCGAATCGTTTTCTCCACCTCATAAAAAAAACTCCTGCATCTATTGGGGTGACGTGGGGTGGGGGGGGGGTATGAGGCTTTTAGAGTGTGTTCATAGTTGAAGATATTACTGGGCCTATTTTTACTCATCTAGGCCTCAATCCCATTAGTGATTTCAAACGGGAGAGAGAGGGGGAGAGAGAGAGAGAAATGGGGTTTAACGTCCACTCGACACAAATTAGGTCATTTCGGGACTAACATGGTTTAATTTTATTTCAATAAATCGTTTGCGCGTAGGGGTCTTTAGCAGTGGGAGGAAACCGGAGGACCCGGAGAAAACCCACGAGGTTGGACAGGCGACCCTACTCCTTGTCACGTACAACCGGGGATTCGAAACCACGCCAGTTGACTCAATGACAGGCTGCGAATCGTTTTCTCCATCTCATTCAAAAAAACTCCTGCAACAATTGGGGTGACGTGCTGCACTATGATAAAAATAATGCTGTGATTTTAAAGAATGTGGCCCGATTTGGTTTTTCTACAATCACCTTCCCACCCTGTCTTCTGATATCACTTTTAAACTATCGCTCCAGTCATCTATAAATATTGGTGGGTGTCGTACACATGGCAATGAACTTAGCTAACTCACTTTGGTCCTGCTATTGTAATTCTAGATTTTTTAATATAATACCAAATATAATTCACTTGTGGGCACAAAATGTTTCATTATTTTGAGAAAACAAATAATTAATCAACGTTTTCCTACTATCTCTTTTATATTTATCAAATCTGCAACTTAGGCCTATATATGATGTAATGAGTACAGCTGTATTTTTGTGACTTGTAGAAAGAGACTAGGACAATAAGTCGACATCTCGACGTTACGATAAAAATAACACGATGATACGACAGAATGAAGTGTCGTATGATTGCGTCAATACTGTCGTATGATATTACAGCGGAGGGATAGGGGGTGTAAAGTGTCTTTCTGCAGAGCAATCATTGTGTCGGAAGTGAGATTTTCACCCCTGTCAACTTCAAATCTGTGTAGCAAAAAATCTAAATGGTCAACCCCCTACAAAATTATGATGAGGAGATTGCCAAATGTTGTCCCCATTGTGCCTATAAAGATTGGAACCAACGGAATGTTGAGCAAAAAGCTACAACCTGTGATGTTACAGTCATTTAACATTGAAGTCAATGGGCAAATAATTGCTAGTCTGAGTCCATACACGCTCGGATTTCAGCGCATGGGCTGTGACCAAAAAAAACAAACCAATGAGACTGATTTTACTTTATCTAGTTTGTTTGTCATCTATTCTAAAACGCATATCCATTTTTTCCGAAGTGAATTCCTCGGACTTGATTGGTTGATAGGAAATATTAAAGAGAACTCGTCTAGGCGTTGTCGCGCTCATAGTATCTTTGGCTTCAGAAGGTATCATCACGGCGAACAGAATTTTATAAAAATCTAAGAATGAATACACAATTAGTTATCGCTGTAGTAGCTGGTAAGTGTACTTAAATTTTATTGTCTATTCTTTTTCACGGGAATATAAATTGTCATTGTGGTTATTTTTTAAGGAATACTGAAAATAAAATATCGGGAATTAATTCTGTAAACGACTCTCAGAAAACGAGAATTACATAGGGAAATGTCTGCTATCATGTTTTATTGTTATTTTGTAAAACAAAATATATAAATGGCGCATTTACAGATGCAAGTATATTTTTAGATTAGGGACTGGTATTGTTTTCTTACATCACACGACGATGTATACTCGAATATTTTTTTTTTTTTATAAATTTAAAAAAATGGAAAAAAAGAATGAGGATAACTATTGGGCACCCATTCCTATTCTTGGTTAGTAACTTGGTTTTTTTTTTCGAAAAGAACATTTTCTTAAAGTATTCTAGACAGACTAGCGTTAAGTACGGCTTGATTGTACTCGTATAAAATACCCGCCCTGTATTGTTTAGCGTCAGTCGGGAATATACCTGTCCTTGACCTTAATTGACCAGTTAAATTCCAGGGCTGGGTAGCAAACAGTCTAATTAAATTTAATCGTAGGTTGTATTCATGGAAATCAGTCACTTTCCGAACTGCCAGTAATACAATGTTGGTACAGTTCTCAATAATAATAGAGGTGATCGGACAACAGTGGGAATACTGTATATATGGCGCATAAATTAAATCTGGTGAAATGAATAAAGCGCCTTATCTGTGTTGATTTAGATTGTTGAGTGCAAGTCTGTCCACATTTAAGCTAACTGGATTTTGTTTTATAGTTTAAACCTACAACAACACATCTCTGTTACCCAGAAATATATTTTCTGCGATTTCTTGAGTAATATGAGTGTCTGGGAAGATTTATTGACCTTTGGGTTATCATAAATATAAAATAATTAAAACAAATTTTGAACTGTTTAAGCAAATCAAAAATGTGGCGGGATCATGACTTTTGTGTGCAATAAGTACAATTTACATCCGTATTCGATACATACAATTTATATCATGCTATCGTATAATAATAGTACATGGATTGTAAAGAATATCACCATACGAAACTTGCGCTGCGTGTCTACAATAAGCTCTGCATGAGAACAGCTAGTTGAAAGCCATTTTAATACACACATTAAAACGCTAAGTTAACATTGAGAATTTTGAGAAGTGTATCTTCTGCTCCCATGTTCATGTTCATTGAAATGAAATGGGGTTTTACTTCCTATTGTTCTAATGCGAAGGGGTATAGTAAGATTAGATAAATAGCCGACAGTTCTCCCTATAATAGTTAAAAAGGAGATAATGAAAAGGGAATATATTGAAAATTTCTGTCAAATTACTTCACTCTGAGCCTAGTCATCGGCGATACAATAACAATGTAACCTCGAATGTCATTGCAATCGTTGTTACGATAATAAACAATATCGATTATCAATTTTTACGGTTATTTCATCAAGTGCAAAGCGTAATTAAATCTGTGCCGATTGGGCTAATGAAGATTAAAAGTAAATTGCATATCGTACATAACGTGAGACAAATATTTAAAAAATATATTCATCTTGGACTTATATTTGACAATTAACTGTGGTGATTGATCGTTAGTTATCATTATGACATATATTGCTAATTGGGTGAAAACATTTCAAATTCTTCGCGATAACCAAATTCCAACAATTTCGTGATCAAGGTTGAAGTGATGAATTGACCTTACGAATTGGCCTGATATAACTAAGAAAGCCGACGGATCTCACGCTAGGTCCCTTTGCTAATGTTGTAAAAAAAAAGGATGAAATGCTAGCTATTTAATACGTGGTTGTTTATCGCCTCTGTGTGTGCTTGGCAAACAAAGCATTTTAGATGTTGTTGGCAATAAAATAAACAGAGCATGACGACATGAAACGAATAATAATGGGGTTCAACGTCCTACTGTTCAGCATCAACACGTGTGGTTTGAGGGAAATTTTACCCTGGCAGTGAGGTTTTGGCCTACCTTACACCGAATTCCAAATGTCAAGGGCTCTTAAACGCACACACCAGCGTGTTCGCCAAAAGACTAGATACTTATAGCCTTTTCTAGGGGGACACCACGCTCTTTATTTTTACACAAACCAGGTCATTTCGGGACTAACATATGGTTCAGTTTTATTTCAATAAGTGGGAGGAAATCGAGGACCCGTAGAAAACCCTACTCCTTGTCAAGTACAACTGGGGAATCGAAACCACGCCAGTTGACTCAATGACAGACCTTATGATACAACGCATACGCGCTAACCATTCAGTCATTCAACCCGATTAATGTGCTATGAGGGGAATTTTTCGAATTCCAAGTCAAGGTTCTTTTACGTGCACGCCAATGTGTACACGGAACCCCCGAACGACTATACGTTGTCCCTTGCCAGGCCTTTCCTCCTACACCACTGACAATCTCGATGAACTTTCCTGGCCAGCTTCGCATTCGAAGCAAAATATTAATAAGATATGTAAGGATCGCAGACATTTGTCGCTTGAAATAACGCAATTTAACACTTTATGGGCGGGGTCGTGCATTATTGTTATGGCAAATACAAATATGTATATCTCCCTAGCACTCACAGGTACGATGCGACTTAAAACATTTATTTTGTTTGCTTTTAAAAGATTCGCCGGATGGTTAGCGCGTGCGCGTTGTATTATAAGGCCTGTCATTGAGTCAACTGGCGTTGTTTCGATTCCTCGGTTGTACGTAACAAGGGGTCCGGTTTCCTCCCACTGCTAAAGACCTCTACGCGCAAGCGAATTATTGAAATAAAATTGTACCAAATGTTAGTCCCGAAATGACCTAGTTTGTGTCGGGTGGGCGTTAATTCCCATCTCTCTCTCTCTCTCTTTCTCTCTTTCTCTCTCACTCTTCATCAAAAGAAAGCTACGTCACTATTCTCCACCTACCCTGTCGATTCATTTCACTGCACAATCACGTTACTACGGTAGCCTAGTAAAACCAGTCCAATAAGAGCAATACCACATTCATAATGAATAAAGTTAACATCTGGGTAACAGTGACTAAACCTGACAATAAATCAACTAGAGATAGATATCTGTTGTTGCTTTGTTCAGCCGCCAGCTATTCAGCTATATATGTTGTTTTACCATCTTTTCACCGCTTGAAGTAATATTTAGGTCAGTTATATGAAGTAAAAAATCCTAATACCAGGGCCCTGTTTCACAAAAACTTAAATCTCCATAAAATCGTCTTAAACTAAAATTCCATATGTGTTTATTGAAAAATTTTATAGGCCTATTTGAAATTAAATTTTAATATCATGAATTTATTATTATTTCTTAATAAAGGCGTTCGTTAATAACACCGCGTAAATCAGACAAGTTTTATATAGGAGCCAAGGGTATTTTATATTGGGGAAATCATGTTAATTTAGTAAGATAGATAGGCATTATCAAATAAGGACTGTGGTTTTTTGGCATCTTCAAAGTATTATTGAAAGGGTCCATGGGACTGACATTTCAAATCAAAACATCGGAACATTGTCTATTTCGTGTATTAGTTTAAAAGTTGTTAAATACTTTTAAAATTCGACAATAATTTGCAGTCTAGATAAAACATGCATTATGCAAGAGCAAAATCTGCTTATTACAAGTCTTTCTTTAGGCCTGAAATGTTATCTTAATTATCAATTAGACATTAATTAACTTATCCAGACCATAATAAACTCTCGATGTCAAGGCTAGCCTTCGATGTTGGCTGGATTAGATTCCTATATGCCGCTAACGGCTATTGATAATTAAATCAATAAAAGTGGATAATCGGGACTATGCTGTTTATATTAATGATTTTAGTAATGATAAACGAGACTATGCAATAATTTCACCTGCTTCTTTCTCGGCTCATAGTGGATCAATTTGACTGAAATTTTCAGCAAATTACCTTTACACTATCTAGTTTTTAACTATTATAGCGAGAACTGCCATCTCTTTATCTTATCTCCCATAATGTATCTTTAATCGTTTGAGTCAGGAATATCACATGTTTGTGACAATTCTCAATAATTTGTTATCCAAAATACCATAAGACTACGAAATTCAAGCGATTTAGTACAACCAACACGAAAGCGAATGCAAGTTCAAGGCAAACCCACCGGTACATTCCCAAAACGAATAATACGCAATAAACTTATTTATTTCATCTCTCTCTACGACTGTCTGACCATGTGCAGACATTGATACAACGTATGAAACTCTCCTCAGTGGTATTGTAACCGTTAGTTCAACCTGACAACAGTTTTAAGTTCCGAAGCGTTTATGCTTACACCCTAAGTGCCCTCGCCGGAATTGTGCCCTGCGCGGGCGCAAGCAATTGTAACTAAAATCTATTAAAATTGCATTTTAAATTGCATTTTAAGTTACAATTGATGTTCGTGGAACGCATAATATTTAAAATTTTATTTTGATTTTGATAAAGACCTGGGTCCGTATTCAAAGGATATCTTAAGTCTAAGATATTCACTAACTACTAGATTTCGCTTAAATATAACTTTCTGTAGGTTAAGGGTACGTGGTATTCAAAAGCAATGTAAAGTATAAATTTTTCCCTTAAGTTAAGCTGCCTAAACGTTTAAGTGTTTAGCCTTTTAGCGGTATTCAAAGGCCAGTTTAAAGTAGCTAAGTCTCTAACTCAATATCATCCAAAATCTTCGATATTGAAAACACGATTTATTTGTCGTTTTAAATCAACATTGATGTTGTGATCTTACCGGGAAAAGATGGCCTTCTGATATCCAATATTTAAGACAAAATAAACATTTTGCAATTGGTACACGAATCGTGTACCATAATGCGTTTCAGCGCTATTTGTAATAAGGGATTCGAAAAACGAGGCTAGGCATATTCCACAAGTCATGTCAAACGGTGATGCTATATTCTTATCTGGAGAGCATGCCCAATAAATACTATCGACGTAGACTGGAATAACCAGACGATAGAGATTGAAATTCGATTGAGAATACTGGCATATTTCGTCGAACCTAACTGATTAGAAATTACAGTAAAAACAGAAACGATTGAATGTAAATCAATTTATATACATTCATATTACATTATTGTATGCGTTGCGACCCGTTTGTGTCAATTTATAGGTCCGAAATACTAGCGACTTAGCTCCTTTAAGTGAGAAAAATCTAGTTGGCTTCAAACTTTTTTGTCATCGTCAGCTTTGATGTTGTAGTGTCATAATACTGTATACGGTTACTACTACCGAGATTGTGAAGGATATACATGTATTTCTTTCCGGTCATTTTTATCCTTTTCGTATTTTTTATTCATTTTTTCCACGACTGTATTCTAATAAAGTTTAATGCGTTAAATTCATTTGTAAAACTTGACAGTGTTGATATTCCATTGCAAATTTCGACAAACATATACTACCATGAGAAACAAGGCATGATTTACTTTTTTACAATTTATTCCCCAGTGGTATTGTTTGTAATATGGTCTTGTCTTCGTTTGTATTTAAATTTACAAATATATGATGATGATTGCTGGCCGCAGGGTGCCATCAATATTTTACAATTAATTTATTACATTACTGATTGCGTTTTAATCGGTAGTATTCATTCAGGTAGAAAATAACGTCACGTGCATCTTTCGTACACAGAGGATGCGTACAGGATTTTCTAGAAAAAAAATCCACGGAAACGACGTACTATCGTAATTTATAGCCGTACAATTTGATTAATGACACAGACAACTTCGAGAATAGGTCTCTAGCCTAATTAACCGAGGGGATCACGTGGCTAAGTGAGTAAGACGCTGGCTTGCTAGCCTGGAGGTCGGGTGTTCGATCCCTGCATTGGCCGAGAAAGTTCATCCAGATTTTCCGGCGTGGTTTTCCCTCTTGTCAGTGATGCAGGACGGAGGGCCTGACAGGGACAGCTGTCTAGTCCTTCGGATGAGACGAAAAACCGAGGTCTCGTGTATATATTGGAATGCACGTAAAATATCCCCTGGCAGTTGGAATTCGATATAAGAGTAGGCAATAGTGCCGCTGCCCGGGCAAAATTTCCCTCATAGCACACTGTATGGCGTAGGCCGGTCTTCATTAGCCCAGTATAGGAGCAAAACAGTAGAACGTTAAACCCCATTTCATTTCATTTCCTAATTGACCGGCCTATCCCAAAAATAGTATACAATTTTGTAATGTGGTTCTACCCCGTTTCATATATGCCATACACGAAATGACTAAATAAACCTTTTCAGCGATATTAAATAGAAGCGGAATAAATATTTCTCAAAATTATCGAAGTATTCTTCGAGTTTTCCACTAAAATCGTCCATGTAGGAATTAAAATGTCGGCCAATTAGCTTAGTGTCTGTTTTCAAGCGGGAGCTAATTGTAGACGAACACTAGTTTACAATAAGTATAGTGGTGCTTTTGAGGGACTTGAGTTCGAATTTTGAAATGCGTGATTTTTTGTAGTGGCAGGTGTTCCATAAGTTAGAAATTCATGCTTTTTGGCGATTGCGGGTATTCTATAATTCAATTATACATTTAAGTTTTTGACATAGCTAAGTATGTGTAAAATAGAGCCTTTGAATACCGATTTAAGGTTCGACACTTAGTTAAGTGGAAAAATTAAGTAGCTTTACTCAACTTTAATAAAATTTTTGTACATCGAATGGATGACATAATGTTTTATTTTGAAAGAAATGACTTTCAAAGGTATAACAAAGTGTTCATAATTAAGTTTACAGGCCATTTGATTTGATTATTTTGGAATAACCCGAATATAAATTAACACATTTATGGAAGTAAGTAATTTGAATACAGTGTAGACATTGGCGTGTACGTAACGACTCCCTTGAAATACCAAGAAGCGTAGGTCTAGACTTCTTCCCAACTAATATAAAGTAATTTACAGTGCAGACATTTGCGTGTACGTAACGAATCATTTGAAATACTAAGAAATGAAATGGGGTTTAACGTCCTACTGTTCTGCTCCTATGCTGGGCTAATGAAGACGGGCATACGCCATACAGTGTGCTTTAAGGGAAATTTTGCCCGGGCAGCGGCACTATCGCCTACTCTTATATCGAATTCCAACTGCCAAGGGATCTTTTACGTGCATTTATTGGATTATGATCCGATTTGCTGCTTAACTTTCATGATTTAATCATGAAGTGGATAATCGAGACTATGTTTTTTATCGGACCGACTTTAGTAATGATGGGCTAGGCCAAAATTTCAATCGCTTAATTATCGGTTCATAGTGGATCAATTTGACTGAAATTGTCAGCAAATTGCCTTTACATTATCTAGTTTTTAACTATTATAGTGAAAACTGTCAGCTCTTTAAGGTTTATTTCTTCAAATTGACATAATATCTGCTCTTCAAACACACGTGTTTATTTCTTTTTCTTCAGTTATAAGCTGTTTTGGCCTAACAGAGGCGACATGTAACAACTCTACAGCTATGCAATGTAAGACTACATTTGATGGTGCTACTAAAACAACCGATGAACAAAAATGCGAGTAAGTATCTCACGCACTCTAAGCTAAGGCGTGTTTCCAGACAAGGGGGTGGGGGGGGGGGGTGGATGGCCGAATGGTTAGCACGTGCGCGTTGTATTATAAGAGCTGTCATTGGGTCGTCTGTCCAATTTCGTGGATTTTCTCTGGGTCCTCCGGTTTCCTCCCACTGGTAAAGGCCCCTACGCACAAGCGAATTATTGAAATAAAATTGAATCACATGTTAGTCCCGAAATGACCTAGTTTGTGTCGAGTGGACGTTAATTGCTCTCTCTCTCTCTCTCTCTCTCTCTCGCTCCATGTACATGTATGCGTTTCATCCGGTAAAAGAGATAGTATAATGCAAATTTAAATGGAACTGTTTGCGCACACGGAAAAAGAAGTTGTTCGACTTTTTCCCTTACGTTCGAGCGTACAAACATGGTTTCTCTTCATTAAATATACCAACCGCTCATGTTTCCACAAATTCAGCTTGCAAATGACTGATTTGTTTGGGCATGATGCTATTATAAAAAAAGGCCGAGCTCCATGTTGTAAAGAGAAATCGTCACTTATGACGTCATATACATGAGATTCCCCAAACTTTTCAGCGATTTATCTGTACACATGGAAATACAAAAAAAATCACTCGCGGAAACACTTCCTTTTTTCCGCTGGTGAAAACGCCTACGTGGAAAGCGGGCCTTCGTGTTTATTAATTAGCATTAATTTTTTACATGCACTATTCCAACACCCGAACAGCAGAAAGCGTATATTATATTTATGTCTCCATACTACATCAACATTTTTACCGGACTTTACCGGAATTAACCTATAAATGCACCCAATGTTGTTTTCCTTAAAGGGAGATCAAGGAAACCCGCACATAGCCTAAATGAAAAATTGAACCTTTGAGTCTTATTTGCCTGTAATGTCATTTGCGGATTTTCGGTCAACTGAAAAATTAAATGCGAATACAAATATTGAATTTGCTACAAAAGCGACATTTCCTTTAGCTTAGATACGACTAGTGAGATTTAGTACTAGGAAGAAACCCCAAATCCGTCATTAATTTTCTTCAGCATAAAAATAAAACCCCTAGATTTTATTGCCACGGACAATACGGGATTGATCATAGTCATTGGAAATACTTCGATTTTTAACGCCATGTCCCCGACAGAAACAATATTCTAAAACTTCTATATTATTATGATTTATTTTTTATTATTTTTTTTATTTTTTTGCAGGACCCTTGATACTTATATGCATTGTTTGATTGACGCCGATTGTTTTACTGGTAGTGCTGCGTATCGAGCTCAGTTTACTACCGCCGAAACGGCACAGGCTGTAACATGTGGTAAGTTTTATTATTGTATTTCATATTTTACCGTTAATGGTAATGTGTTAAGATTTATTTTAGAGACTGGTGGTGTGATGTATAGGTTTTGTGTTAGGATTAGTGTTTTTGGTGGTATGATAGGTATCGTAATTAATGTGGTGGGTTTATCGTTAATTTATCGTTAATCGTTATTCTAGAGCTCATGTTTACTTTCACTTACATATATTCGGAACTTAGCCTCGATTCGACATTTTAAAATTAAACCATTAAAGGGACAATAACACTCTTGCTGGCTTGAAAACTCTAGAAAATAAATAATATCTCTATCTAAGTACTAGATGTTTAAGTGTCCTACCTGTTGTGTAAATTATCCATTACATCCTATTTTACTTGTCCAGAGAGTTCGAAAATATTTTTAAATCGAAGTTTCATTTGAAAAGGTTTACGTTAGACGTTTCAAACCATTATGTTGAATTTTTCAAATTTTTTAAATAAGGTGTGTTAAGATGAAATTTGTATCATCAATTAATTTTAATATTCTAAAATAGTACAATTTGTTGACTAGAATAAAGATTGGGACATATTATTCAGTTACAACAAGAGTGGTATTGAGCCTTTAAATGACGACCATGTTTTAATCCGTTTAAATCTCCGCCATCCGATGGTGTCTAGAGAGTTGATTATAGACTTGGCATGTGAATAAATGTCTAAATAAAAGTTTATGTAACATTTGAAGCCAAAATAAAGACTTGCAATAGGCAGATTTAGCTCTTACATTATGCATTGTTTTAAATATGAACAGATAAATAAGCAAGATATTTTTGTTATTTTACAGAGTGTACCGCAAGTAGAGCTACAAAATGTATCACTGCAAGCTGCGAGTAAGTAGTTTATAGAATTGATCTGCATTATGAAATGAAATGAAATGGGGTTTGACGTCATACATTTCTGCCTGCACCGATTGGGCTTCTGGAGACGAGCATACGCTTTACAGTGAGGGACATTTTAGGCGGACGGTGGCGCTACGACCTACTTTTATTTCGAATTCGAAATAAATTAACTTTTTATTTATTTTTTTGTTTCGGTATTGTTTTTATGGAAGAATTTAGACCGTATAATCTGTTGTTATAAGCTGTAGTTGAAATGGGATATTTTTATGGAAGAATCTATTTTAGCTATGGAGAGGGTATATTATAGGTAGGGATAACAAAACCGCCAGACCGTATAATCTTTTGTTATAAGCGGTAGTCGAAATGGAAGGGTACCACCGCAACATGCGAAATCCTAGAACGTTCCGCAACGCCGGATTAACCACGGGGCACCATGGGCCCAGGCCCCAGGGCCCCCCACAAAAATCACAGTTGCGCGCCTCGAGCATGGTCGGACCGAGGACGCCAACGGCCGGTGACCTAGTGACGGGGCCCCTCCGATGCTCCGAGGGCCCTCCATCGGAAGTCCCTGGGGCCACATTCCCCAACGTTGAAGCAATATTGAGAATATATATGTGTATATATGATGATATCTAATTGTTCTGGGGAGAGATCTTTCTTCAAATTTAAAATTATCTCCCGTCTACGATGGGTCAGGATAGGCTAGTGTGTTGATTTGGCTGGCCTCTGAAAGCGATATCTTGCGCACCATCAATGCCGAAGAAACTATTGCAAAATTCGCCAGGGGCAAAAAAAAGAAGAGTGTTCATCCATTGATCATTATCATTCAGCTCTAACTCCGCGTAACTTGACCCGGTATAACGCGAATTATCGCTAACTCGAACAAAATTCTTTGAATGAATATTTTCTTTCGTTTTCCTTTTATAAAACATCGAATAACTCGGAAACTGTAACTCGAATTATCGCATAGCTCGAACCAAATTTCCGGTACAATCCTTATCGAAGTCTTATATTTACATCGCCTAACTCGAACTGTAAATAATGGATCTTGCAGGAGAGTGTGCCTTGGCAACTTTCCCGGAAACTTGTTTTTATGGAAGAATTTAGACCGTATAATCTGTTGTTATAAGCTGTAGTTGAAATGGGATATTTTTATGGAAGAATCTATTTTAGCTATGGAGAGGGTATATTATAGGTAGGGATAACAAAACCGCCAGACCGTATAATCTTTTGTTATAAGCGGTAGTCGAAATGGAAGGGTACCACCGCAACATGCGAAATCCTAGAACGTTCCGCAACGCCGGATTAACCACGGGGCACCATGGGCCCAGGCCCCAGGGCCCCCCACAAAAATCACAGTTGCGCGCCTCGAGCATGGTCGGACCGAGGACGCCAACGGCCGGTGACCTAGTGACGGGGCCCCTCCGATGCTCCGAGGGCCCTCCATCGGAAGTCCCTGGGGCCACATTCCCCAACGTTGAAGCAATATTGAGAATATATATGTGTATATATGATGATATCTAATTGTTCTGGGGAGAGATCTTTCTTCAAATTTAAAATTATCTCCCGTCTACGATGGGTCAGGATAGGCTAGTGTGTTGGTTTGGCTGGCCTCTGAAAGCGATATCTTGCGCACCATCAATGCCGAAGAAACCATTGCAAAATTCGCCAGGGGCAAAAAAAGAAGAGTGTTCATCCATTGATCATTATCATTCAGCTCTAACTCCGCGTAACTTGACCCGGTATAACGCGAATTATCGCTAACTCGAACAAAATTCGTTGAATGAATATTTTCTTTCGTTTTCCTTTTATAAAACATCGAATAACTCGGAAACTGTAACTCGAATTATCGCATAGCTCGAACCAAATTTCCGGTACAATCCTTATCGAAGTCTTATATTTACATCGCCTAACTCGAACTGTAAATAATGGATCTTGCAGGAGAGTGTGCCTTGGCAACTTTCCCGGAAACTTGAAGATTTGAAAAATAAACGCTTTTTGTGGTTTTATCTAAGGGTGTAACACATGGTCTTTTATTGTCGTGAGATCTTCTATCGGACCGAACATCGTCTAACTCGAATTATCGTATAACTCGAACAAATTAACCGTCCCCATCATTTTGAGTAGCGCGAATTTTGCCTCAGATTGACGTACGATTGTATATAAGCTGTTGTTGTTGTTGTTGTTTTTGATATTTGTTGTGGGTATAAGCTGCACATCATGATCACACGAAATATTCAGATTTCTTGATTAAATCTCGTATTACCATTTGGTACTTACAGTGTTAGACGTTCGTCAAAAATCGAGTCCGGCTTGGTCGTAACGTTACGGCCTCCATTCATCAAATCATCGTCGGGGATATAATACGATTCCGAATCAAGTGACCCCGTTATTTATCACTGAGCGACTTCACAATTAGGTTTGATGTAGCTTTGCTCACTTTAACGGGCTCTATGGGCTCCAGCCCCCTCCTCTAGAAATGCTATCATTTCATAGCACTCGCATGGATTGGTCCATGGATTGGCAGAATTTTGCGGAATCCCGCCCCACGACGTGCGCGTCTGCCTCTCTGAGACCGGCGACAGAACGATTAGGCCCTATTTCACCCTCGCGGGCGAACGGGGTGGTGTGTGTCCGACCTGTGTGTTTCGGCAGGTGTCTTTCGAAGGCAGGTAAATCTGCTTGCAAACGACTAGGGGTTGTGCGTATCGGGTTGTAGTCCGCTTCAGACGGACAGAGCTCTCGATCTCTCTGTATATTTGTTTTTCTCAGCTACTTCTTCACTCCCACTTCCACTTCGCGCGCCCCGGCCGAGGGTCTCCTGGCCAAGAGAGGAGAAGAAGAAGAAGAAGAAAGAGAAGAAGGGGGGCGAATTTTTACCCGTTTGCCCGACGGTCCGTGTCTACACGCAATCGGGGAAAAAGAGACGGCCCCGTCTCGAAATTTGAGAGAGATTCGGCCGAGAGGCGGTCGTGCTGAAATTCCTCAGGAAATCACGTTTCCAGCCTCCAATTTCTGAAAATTTCAAAGGGGGGAGACGCCCCCCCGCCCCCCGAGACCCCCCTTACGGGGCTTCGTGTCTTCGGCACTCGCGGTGACCGGTTTCGCCCCAGGGCCCCCACCATGGTTAATCCGGCGTTGACGTTCTGGATTGACGGAATTGTAATCACGTGACAAGGACTTAAGTCTTGTGAGTCAGAAATACCCATTCTCACCGATAAAGACCCGGATTGCGTTAATTTTTTTTATAGAGTCTGGAGGTTCACGGTGTACCAAGAAAAGTCCCTCTGGTGACACCTTTACAAGCTTTCAAATAGTGAGTGCAGGAGAAGCAAACTACACGCAAAACAAAATCGATAAGAAAAACCTGCGGAGAAGACAAACTGAATAGACGTTGTAAGAACTAATCAGCAAGTATCAAATCAAGAGAATGGCCCCGAGGGCCAGCTGTAAGCGGTGCTGTACAGGCCCGAGTCTGTAATCAGGCGCTGATTTAAAGGGGGAGGGGCAAGACGGTTCACAAAAAATAGTAACAAAATCAATAACAATCATAATATTATGACCTTAACATTACGTCAACGTGAATAAAACTGCTTTCCGGTGAGATAACGATCAGCGAACAAATAGGCAATACGATCCATATTCTACCGGAACGCTTAGTTTTATATTATGCATTTTATTATATATTTTATTGACATACATTGACGGGTTGATCCGCTACTGTCTGTAATAATGCAGACTTCAAAGTAACATCTTTCAAACTTTGTTGTTGCAGTGATATCGGCGACTACAAGGCCTGTTTAGATGTTACTACTTGCTATAATGGTGTTTACAAGACTGCATATGATGCTAAAAGTTTTTTATGTGGTGAGTAGGACTGTTCAGATTCAATGTAATTAAAACAAGGGGCGACGTTTCCTAATCTTTATTGTCTTGGCATCCTGTCACGTGATAATGAGTACGTGCCACAGTGAATTTTGCTAACATTTTTGCTCCAGAAATCAAAATCATAATCGGCATATCAGAATAGTGCACAGTATTCTCGCAATTTTGATAGGATAACAACATGGCTTTTTTGGTCTGACCTTACTAATATGTAATTAAACACCCGTTCTGCATAAGATTACATTGTATACTGAGTGAGAGCGAGCCCAGCAATGTATCTCTAGGACATCGGATGGCAAGATATACACGGATTAGAACACAGTAGCCATTTAATGATTTAGTTAGAAAATGTCGAAAGGGGGGCTTAGTCTCGAATAACAACTACTGTTGTTACGATTATAAACATCTTGTCAAAACTTCAAACAGTGATAACTTCGCTCAGAATAAAGTAATTGGAATGAAATGTTCAATATATTCATTTTTCATTATCTATTTTTGAACTATTATAGCAAGAATGGCCAGTACTCTTTATCTAAATCTGAAATAATGCATGTTTAAGATGGACCACTGCCATTTCGACTCTATTATCACTCCCACGCGCGATATTGTGTCTGTGGCTTTAGACAAAATAAATATAATAATGATTATATTGTTCACTATTTATGTTTTGCAGGTGGAGCAGGAGCATCAACTGTAAGCCTAACTTTGATGGCTATCTCATCTCTCTTTATGATTCTCAAAAACAACTTTTAAATAATTTTATTTTTTAAATCGCTTTACTAATAGTTATATGAAGTTTCTCTTTTCATTATAATAAATATTTAAAAAATGTCCATCGTTGATCAATAAATAGCCAACATTTTAAATGTTGATATTATTGGGTATGAGATGATGAGCATGAATATATTGTATATAAATGATTAATAGTTGTTAACCTGTTTTATTAAATTGTATTTGTTGTTAAGCTTTATCATTTAAATCATAATGATTTATTTTACTAACCGTTACTGGAAATTCCATATCAAAATTACAAATCTGCTAAGTTCATTTTCTTTTTGGTAAATAGTGTAAAATTTGTGAGAATAAATTAAATTATTTTTTTTTTAAATCGTCATTGACCAATAAAGTAAACATTTTAGATGTTGAAATATTTGGATATGAAATGACGAAACCAGTTATACAATCTTAATTTCTTTCACTGTTTATTGCTCAGTTTATTTTTACAAAATAAAGTTTTCTAAAGAAAGTCGTGTTTTACTGATTAATGCAGAGCCTTTGCGATATCTGTTGTGGAGTAAATGAAGTTCCCGACGCCATAATGGTAAGAATTATGTTTGACAGATATTACCGATCATGACACCATCCCTGCCATCTTGGATTTGTCGAAAGAACAAACATGCCGAGTGTCATGCAGACTGCACTTGAATTGGCGAAGCGTTGGGTTGTTTCCGAAGGGCGTCGCCTCCAAGAACAACATGGATAACACTTTGGAACAGTTCCTGGTCGATTTCCAAACAGTTCTGCATAAGATGAGTGTGAGAGTGTAGATGGCCAAATACTGTAATTACATCCACCCACGGTGGACCATGCGACATGCCTTCCAAATTTGATTTCTGTCGAATAAATGCATCTGAGTAAATCTGAACATTTGCACCCAAAATGTCTAAAGTGTCCTCTACAAAGGAGAGGGAGAAATGGGGTTTAACGTACACTCGACACAAACCAGGTAATTTCGGGACTAACATATGGTTCAATTTAATTTCAATAATTCGCTTGCGCGTAAGGGTCTTTAGCAGTTGGAGGAAACCGGACGGCACGGAGAAAACCCACGAGGTTGGACAGGTCATCCTACTCCTTGTCACGTACAACCGTGGAATTGAAACCACTGCAAAGGGTCACTGTCCCGGCTATATCTGACTTTCATTAAACAGGTTTCGACTTTATGAAACCACGGTTCAAAGTTCAAACAACTGTGCGTCTTAGAACACGACGAGGCAGTGTATACTTAACTGTTTATAAAACATCCAATACCCGCTCTCACTTGGGCACTTCACATTGCTAACACCTTGTATTATTTGTTTCCGTATTTTTGCTCCATGTCACTGTTATGGTTACTCTGGCGATTGGGCAATTGATCCCGAAGTTATCTTTTGCCCAGACGCCCCAGCGTCTTAAACCCAGGACCAAATATAGCTCCATTTCGCTATAGTAACGAATTTCTTGTTTAAAAAGTGGAAATTCTGTGTCTGCGATTATTAGTTGTACGACACAGAATTGTATTAGTCTTCAACCGTAGATTCCATAACATATTAGGACTGGGCTAGCAAACCTCACCATTGGTGTGTTCTGGAATCTGAGCAGCAGGGAGTACAGGGTGGACACAGCGTCAAGCTTGGCGTGAGGTCTGGGGGTTACCATATAATTCTATAAACTGAGACGCTCTGCACGACATTTCTGCCCATTTAGGCGAATACACATGGGATTAGAGTGGAGTGAGGCCAAAACGAGCGCAATGTTTCGTCCGTTTGCCTGTTCGGCATTATATCGATAAAAGCTCTGCGCGAGTACGGAATGGCCCGGACGCGCCTGCTTACTGCAAGACCAGATGCTTGTATTTTTAACATGTGTGAACAATCAAGAGCACTAACTGAAGTCTTGTTTGTATTGTCTGCGACATCACTACAACCAGAATTGCTGTAAGTCCCCCCACACCCCCTTTCCCGAGCGAAGGCGGTATTTGGTGCATGGCGAAGTGGGCGCGGGAGTCTTGCAATTGCAGTAACCCAATGAAGATAATTATACACAGATACACTTCGATTATTTATTTTAGAGAGTATTTTATTAAATGTTAATCTGATTTGGAATCGCAAATAATATGTCTGTCCAGGGGCGGATCCAGGAATTTTTGCAGGAGGTGGTTTGCCAGGTTCCTGTTAAGGAAATTTGACATTTTACAAAGCATGATGACGCATACATACACACTGAGCTTTTTAAAGAGAGAAATCAAACACCCCGTTTGACGTCAATTTTTATTATGAATTAATAGGATCACGTTGTGATTCAATTTCATTGATGCAAAGCATTATATTAATTCTGATAACACATATGTCTATATCATTATCTCGCGCTTTGAATGTCCATCCCATCCCACCATCTGATGATAAAGGAAAAAGCACTCGACCGTGACACTACTCTATAAGCAGAATATTACTGTCTCAAGACCGCTGATCGCCATTTTGATTTGTTCGGATAAAATCTAATTTTGCACATCTAATGTACTCAAATTTGTTATATACAATTAAACCAAAATATCAACGATAGTTAATCTCCCGGCGTCGATTCCTTCGATTCGTCTTCATTAGTCCAGTCGGCGTGGTTTCCCCTTTTCAGTAGTGCAGAATAGAGAGTCTGACAAGGACAGCTGTCTAGTCGTCCGGATGGGACGAAAAACTGAGGTCCCGTGTGCACATTGGCGTGCGCGTAAAAGATCCCTTGGCAGTTGGAATTCGATATACAAGTAGGCTGTAGCGCAGCTTTCCGGGCAAAATTTCTCTCAGCAAACTGTATGGCGTATGTCCGTCTTCATTAGCCCAGTTTAGGAGCAAAACAGTAGGACGTTAAACCCCATTTCATCTGCAGAAAAGTAGGACGTTAAGACGCTGACTCGCTATCCTGGAGGTCGGGTGTTCGATCCCTGCATTGGCCGAGAAGGTTTATCCAGATTTTCCAGCGTGGTTTCCCCTTGTCAGTGATGCAGGACGGAGGGCCTGACAAGGACAGCTGTCTAGTCGTTCGGATGGGACAAAAAACCGAGGTCCCGTGTACACATTGGTGTGCACGTAAAAGATCCCTTGGCAGTTGGAATTCGATATAAGAGTAGGCCGAAGTGCCGCTGCCCGGGCAAAATTTCCCTCATAGCACACTGTATGGCGTATGCCCGTCTTCATTAGCCCAGTTTAGGAGAAGAACAGTAGGACGTTAAATCCCATTTCATTTCATTTCGATTAAGATTAGACCCATCAAAAGATTATATACCGCCTGCACAGTATGTTGCGATTATTTTCAATTCATCATAATATTGAACCGATGAACTATTTCTGGGCCGATATTCCTATTAGAGATTCCACTTTAACAATAATATTGTTTAGAGGGGAATCAAAATCTCCCAACTCACGATTAATAGTTTTAAACGTACTTTTTTAAAACGTTTAATAGGTTTTTATTTATACATTATTACACTATCCACCCTTAGTATGGTAAACTAAAAATAACTAGTTTTAAGTACGACTGCCCGAGTCCATGTATAATATAAGCAACCAGCGGCTGCCAGGCAGAATACGCCCACATTTTCGAGAGATGGATAGAGAACAAGCTAAAAAGAAAGTGATTTTTCCTACAATCAAGGGCCATAATTCAGGAAATTACAATTCGATATGCGCAAATATCGAAAGGAACCAAAATCTTTGGGTTATAAACTTACATTTCAAGTTTCAACAAAATCGGATAAAAATTGTGACCTCTATAGGGTCCACAACCTTGATATACCATATTTTTAAGCTATTTGTGAACGAGGGGTGACCATTTTGTCTGTCAGTTTTGGGCCGATTTTCACGAAATTCGAACTTAGCCGTCCTTAGGGTGTAACGGTGATATAATAATATGTTTTTTTTTAAATCGGATAAAAATTATGACCTCTATAGGGTCCACAAGCTAAAAACGCGATTTTTCGTACAATCAGGGGCCATAATTCAGGAAGTTACGTTCCGATATGTCCGAATATCGAAAGGAACCGAGATCTTTGGGTTATAAACTTACATTTCAAGTTTCAACAAAATCGGATAAAAATTGTGACCTATATAGGGTCCACAACCTTGAAATACCCAATTTTTACGCTATTTGAGAACGAAGGGCAGCCATTTTGTCTGTCAATTTTGGGCCGATTTTCACGAAATTCAAACTCAGTCGTCCTTAGGGTGTAACGGTGATATAATAATATGTTATTTTAAATCGAATAAAAATTATGACCTCTATAGGGTCCAAAAGCTAAAAACGCGATTTTTCGTACAATCACAGGCCATAATTCAGGAAGTTACGGTCCGATATGCGCGAATATCGAAAGGAACCGAGATCGGATAAAAATTGTGACCTATATAGGGTCCACAACCTTGATATACCATATTTTTACGCTATTTGAGAACGAACGGCGGCCATTTTGTCTGTCAATTTTAGGCCGATTTTCACGAAATTCGAACTCAGTCGTCCTTATGGTGTAACGGTGACATAATAATACGGTTTTTTTAAATCGGATAAAAATTATGACCTCTATAGGGTCCACAAGCTAAAAACGCGATTTTTCGTACAATCAGGGGGCATAATTCAGGAAGTTACGGTCCGATATGCGCGATTATCGAAACGAACCGAGATCTTTGGGTTATAAACTTACATTTCAAGATTCAACAAAATCGGATAAAAATTGTGACCTCTATAGGGTCCACAAGCCAAAAACGTGATTTTTCGTACATGCCAATATCGAAAGCAGCCGAGATCTTTTGGAGATACACCTATATTTCAAGTTTCGTTAAAATCGGATAAGAATTGTGACCTGTAGAGTGTCCACAAACAAATTGTGGACGGACGGACGGACGGACAGACAGACAGACGGACGTCCAGACGTCCGGACGGACAGGGGCGACGGCATAATACGTCCACATGAAAATGTAGGCGTATAAAAACGAGAAGTCCAACCGAACCCCATATTCCTGAAGCAATGGCTCGAGATATCCTTCTTATCTGAAGTGATAATATTAGGTCTAATCAAAGGAAACACTGCAAGCGTATGCCCAAACCCTAGTCATGTGGCTATAAACTATATGACAAAATTAGAAACTATTTGCCCAAATTAGAAATTATATAATTTGACGATATTATTAGAAGTCATAATGATTTTGACAATGTTAAAAGTCAAATGATTAACAACATTTAAAGTTCTGTGAATTTGAGGAAATTCATTTCACACCATATCATTTGTTTTTATGAATATAATAGTTTTTAATACTTTATAAATCAGTTGTTGGGTGTGTCTCGTAAATGAATTTGAAGACGCACTAGGTGGGCGGGGGGCTAAATACTGCATTGATAACAATGATCAACAACTCTAATGGACTCCCGATATTATTTTAATTCGTCAGGTATTCAAGCTATATGCGTCGATGTCTTTATGTGGGATAAATGCGTGGAGATGTAAACTTCATTGAACCGAAAATAATCACAAACCGGTTTAAACTTTAAGATGACACACCTTAAAGATGACTGTTTTATATAAATAATAAAATACAGTCTATTGACATTACGTTTTGTCGAGCATGAAGTCTGCTAACTCTTTCTTCACTGTAACGAGCCAAGCGTATACATCTTCACGCGCTCTTAGTTCAATCGTTGAACTCTTGACTTTTATGGGGAACTACAAGGATTGATGGACTATCTACTTTCTGGTCAAATTTTATGTGTAAATTAAAACACATTCATATGTTTTTCATTGTCTAATAACAAAAGAAACGAATGATGTAAAAATGGAGCTAAGAAGCCATGCAGTGCTGTATTACCCATTATGCATAATAAGCACGCATAATAAATTAATTAAGAACTTTCAAACAGTTTTTAATTGTTTTTGTCTTTCCATAGTGTTACCTGTGTTTGTCGTTGAGAAAAGGACGGAGGGCCTGACAAGGACAGCTGTCTAGTCGTTCGGATGGTACGAAAAATCGAGGTCCCGTGTACATATTGGCGTGCACGTAAAAGATCCTTTGGCAGTTAGAATTCGATATAAGAGTAGGCCGTAGCGCCGCTGCCCGGGCAAAATTTCCCTCATAGCACAATGTATGGCGTATGCCCGTCTTCATCAGCCCAGTTTAGGAGCAGAACAGTAGGACGTTAAACCCCATTTCATTTCATTTTGTCGTAGAGAAACTCTAATCTCGTGCTTGGCGGTTGTTTGTGGTTTATAATTGTTTATATTTTGAATCACAGATATATAGGGTCACCAAAATCTTTTCTGCGGATCTTTCTGTGGCATATGTGGATCTTAAACCGGTCCTGTATGAAGCCTATGGTCCGAGATTATATTCTTAGATAGATCTGGGGTTATTTAATAAACAATATACTACTCGGTATTGGGGAACAGGCTTAACCCATGTAAAACTCATGTGTTACGGGACATCGGTTTACCGTCCCATCCGAACGACTAGTCACCGTCCTACACCCACTGACAAGGAGAAACCACCCTGGGAAAATTCCGGGTACCATTCCAGATGAACCCCTGACCACGTAGTAGTGAGTCAGCCCTTTTTTTAGCTGAGCCACCGCGGCTCCCCAGAGTAGTTAACAAGAAACCATTTCAAACCGCACACCTTCCATTTTTAGCGATGTCGCTTTTTTGAGATAACTAATTACTTTTAAAACTCAAAATTTCAGTTTCTTATCTGAAAGAGATAAGAGTACCTAGATACAACAAATTGTATGGGGTAAAGGCCAAATATCTTAAATAGTGATTGTCAAATATAAAATGAGTACTACCTGTGTGCACTGACCGGGCCAATAAAGTCGGGCATATGCAATGCAGTGTGCTATAAGGGAAATTATGCCCGGACAACGGCGCAACGGCCTACTCTTAATTCTAACTGTCAACATGTGCACGCCAACGTGTACACCGTACCTCGGTTGTTCGTGCCATCCGAATGACTACACGCTATCTCTTGTCAGGCCCTCCGGGAAGTCACGCCGGAAAAATCCCGATAAACTTTCTCGGCCAACCCAGAGATAAAACATGGGAACTGTAGGTTAGAGAGCAACGCCCTAAACACTGAGCCACCCTGACTCCCTTGTCAAATATCTTCAAAGGCTGATAATCCAAGCAAAGTCGTTCTATACTCGTAACCACCCTTTAAAATTATATGAAGCCATCTTATAGTACTTTTACAATACTACGCTTACTTTTTGACTTAAAAGGCCTCTACAGAATATCTAGTCATTAATAGTTGTCATTTGAGTACATAAACAATCCGGAGTCGATATTTATTCATTAACTTGCCCAGTCCCTACGGGAAAACCATAATTCAGCCTTTCCTTATGTTTAGTATATCCAGTCTTTGATGTTTGTTATTTGAGTATTTGAACAATACGGGATGATAATTTATGTATTAACCTTTTTATGCCCCCTCAATGAAGATGGCTGTCACGCTCTAAAAAACTTTGACGAATTAACCACCATATAACTCTGTATATAAGCCATACGAAACAGACAACGACAGGCTTTCCTATACTATATTTAAAATACGAATAACTTACACGAGAAACTAGTGAAAAACTATGAAGTTTTATTTATTACAAACTAAGGAGATTTATCTCCTAGCTTAAAATATTCGGCTTAGTTTTATAGTCCCGACATAGGTCACCATCATTGTTTAGTTCTACAGGCCTGGACTAGTCCTCGATTACCTACCGAGGATACCCGGACAGTGGCGGGAACCTCAAACGGAATACGGACGTGCCCTTTCCCCACGGCGCGACGGCCCTGGCAGAGCCCCCCCCCCCCCTATGAAAAAATTGTCGACCATAAAAACAATAGATACACATTGTCCGTCAATTTTACAACACCCCTGAGAAAACTTCCCGCCCCCCTCGTTGCTTTGAGCTAATTACGGCCCTGCCCGGGCAGGTGGCTTATACTTTTTCATTCACCAATTTTTACAAAACAAGTGGACCGACAAAATCTGATTCTAATCCTACCCACGCCACTATAGTTACCCACATTCAGAAATGTCTCTGGTTGTCTTCTTCTTTACAATCAAGTAACAGTGTATTGTCTTTATTAATTTATACCAACATTAATCTACATATCTCCGGGCCTTTCAGTCTCCCAGCTGCCCTCACCCTCTCATGGGCCCTGTCTTATTCATGGGACAGCAAGGTAACATGCACCTATTTATACAGAGTTTAAAATAATACAATATTTAATTTATTTATTAATGGAAGCAATTTTGTTCATTTGTGCATTATCTTTTATTTAAAGATACATTCCTACAAGATTATCTTTAATAATATACATGTGAGATATATAACAATAACAATATCAGATTACACTCATTTAAGCACAATTCTTGACTTAAAATAGCCAAAGCACATACATGTAAAGCATTGGAAATTACTTTTCTATATTGCTCAGTTTCTGAGATCCAGTGGTCTGGTATCAAATAGCCCGGAGATCTATTGGCCCTGGTATCATATGACCCTTAAGATCCAATGGCCCTGGTATCAAATGATCATGGCATCATATGACCCTTAAGATCCAATGGCCCTGGTATCAAATGATCATGGCATCATATGACCCTTAAGATCCAAATGTCCTGGTATCAAACGACCCTGGTATCATATAACCCTTAAGATCCAATTGTCCTGGTATATGACCCTTAAGATCCAATTGCCCTGGTGTCATATGATCCTTAAGATCCAGTGGTCCTGATATCATACTCGAACCAGGGATAAACTTAGGCTAGTTTCGGAGCTACGGGCACAACCCTTGAAGCATCGGGTAAAAAACTAGTTTATCATTAAAGCTGATTGTCGTTTGAGGGACTCTGAATCCCTTGCAAAACTAAAATACTTTGCAAATTTAATCTTTGAAAGAGAAATCAGTGGTTCAACTCCTTTCAGTATTTACAAAGATATAGTAAATGAGATTATCTGTCCTTGATATTTTGTTTTCATAATTAGATATTAAATAATCAATCTCAGTACAATGTATTATACCAAAAAATAAACATAATCAACATTTAATTTAAACCGGAATGCTATCAAATTATTCTCTACCACAATCTATTGTCTTATACTAGTGTTATATACATTATATGTAATTTTCAAAATATTTATTGTTTTACATACATCATTCTTCTGGATCAAAGGTTGATATTTACATAATACAAAATTCTTTAAATAACATAATTCAGTTATGAATTTCACAATTAAAACAATAACAGTTACAAACATGTCCAATCGCTGCCAATTTGATTAAAAAATATTAAATTTGACATTATCTATCAATATGTACAGGGTGACCAAAAAAAACCCCAGAACCTACAAAACTTTTAATTTTAATTTTTCTTCTTTTTTTTTTCAGGGTATACAAGTTGACTTTGTGCATGGAATATTGGAACAATAGTCTTCACCAATATGTCTCAGTCAACCAAAGGCAAGACATTTGAAATTTGCTGGACCTTTGTTGGATTTAATAAAATTTTTATGGGGTTTTGCTTTTTTTGGGATCACCCTCTGTATTACATTTCCCGCCATATCTTCAATAAAATTATAACTTAGCTACAATAAATACTAGACGCATGTTTAAATGAGATATCTAATATATAAATTTATATTTGTAATCCATCTTCATTAGCCTGAATCGAGCAGATAAATAAGACATTAAATGCATTCAATTACTTATATTTGTAATGTTTATTTATACATCCTTTCCCGACACTTTGTTGTCTAGCTATTGTTACAATATAAAAATAGCTGGATCGTCGCCTTTAAAGTTGCAATTTCATATTTTTAAGTTATATTTTTAAAATTTATTAAAATAAAGCCTTAAAATAGATGGCATCTATAAACAGTCCTACCTTGTTAAAGAATAATCCTATAATTCACTATTGCCAGTTGAGAAATTGGCAAAAGTATCATTTTCATTTTCAAATTCAAACGTTTGAAGATAACTACTCCATGGTGGAGAATAGAAAACAAGGGAGGTAATTGGGAGGTAATGTGTCATTATTTCCGGTGTAAATGAGTTTTAAGTGTGAGAATGACACCTATGATCGTATAATAGTGAGTTGACAACCTATTGAGCAAAAGATATAGAAATAATTATGTTTTGACTTTCTTAGAAAATATGAAATTGCAACTTTAAGAGTTTTATTTCAGCCAATGACAGTGTAATGTTGTAGAATGATGTGAATATATAATTTTACTATACCATCTACATATCAAAATACTACTTAAAGAGTTGGGTCGTCGCTTTTACGTTTTTCATTCAAGCCAATGAAACGGTAATGTTGTACATGTATATCACACCAAATATATCATTGCATATGTATAATAAATTACAATAATTGTCATAATAAGATAGAATATGATTATGCCTTCCAATAAAATATGAGCATTACATATAAATATAAAGACATGAATAGAAATACACTTAATTAAAACAAATAAACCTTCATACATCAGAAATTTACCTTCTCCTTAAAATCACACATAAAATTGTACGTGATAAAAAATATAATCAATGCCTATGAGCTATATATATAAATGCAAATTAGCAAAAAACGATAAAATATGTTTGAAGCCAGAGTACTAGTACATATTATACACACATATGACATTTGAATGATACTTTGGATAAAAGCCACCATGACTCAATGAGTATATGGCACAGACTCAATAACCAAGAGGAGAATCCAGGTACGATCTTGGTGTTGGAAGGGAAAGTCCCTCATGGTTTCCCCTTGTCTGTGAAAAGGTGTCTAGTTGCTTGGATGGGAGGAAAATATACCATCGTCAGCAAATTAAAGATCCCTTGACAGTTGGAAATTGAAATAAGAGTAGAATAAAATTTCACCCAATGCAAGCTGCATGATATATACCCGTTTAAATTAGTCAGGTTGGTACAGAACTGTAAAATATAAATTTCAACCACTAAATAACAAATACGACTTGACTATGGCTTTGATCATAGCGAGAGAGAGAGAGAGAGGGGGAAATGCGGTTTAACATCCACTCGACACAAACTAGGTCATTTCGGGACTAACACATGGTAGGTTGACCCATGTACTCACAGAAATACAGTCCACCGCTGATAGTTCGAGACTACCACTGAAGCGTGCACATTCGCCGTGCCGAGACCAACTTTCTGACAGTATGATACTATAAATAGCCATGGCACGTGCAATTCTCTACAAATCTATCAACTATTACAGCCGTAAAAAATTTATTGTTGACGATTTTGAATAGCAGTAAAATTAAGCTTCTTGGTTATTACAGCAGATTTAGAAATTACGTTTGTTTCATTTTTTAAATCGCTTTATCATTAACTGTACCGTTAAGAGCGGCATCTTTTGGTTTAGTACAAATAATATCTCTGAATCACTCGGGTTAGACAGGAACATGATACTAGCAGTAGATTCATTTTACTTTTACAAGCTTCTTAAAATGATTGTTGAGCTACCTAACGTGCTTATTTCTAAATTCAATTTCTTGTTCTAGCTTTCTGTTATGTTTCGAAAAAAAGTAGTCTTGATTATCCCGACCTGTCAATCAGATGTAGAATGGTCGATAGACTGGTTAAGCGAGACTAATTTCAAAACAAGGGCACGTAACCTATCTTTTACTCAAAAGTGTCTGGATGTTATGGACGACTCTTGGAACCAGTTTTCAGTCTATTTTTTATACGTGATTAATGGTCATAGCTTATTAAGTACAACATGATCGTTTATTTAGTGACTATAATTGTGTGAAACTGATTTGAGGCTTGGCATATATCTAAATATTGTGGCGTAATTGTCGAGATATATGGAGATATTTATTTATGGTGGGTCACCCTACACATGGTTCAATTTTATTTCATTAATTCGATTGCGCGTAGGGGTCTTTAGCAGTGGGAGGAAACCGGAGGACCCAGAGAAAACCCATGGGGTTGGACAGGCAACCCTACTATTTGTCACGTACAACCGGGAATCGAAACCACACCAGTTGACTCAACGACAGACCTCATGATACAGTGCGAACTTGCTAACCATTCGGCCATCCAACCCCCCCTCTTTGATCATAGCACAAGGCCTGTGTGGGTAAACTCTCACTTTTACAATATTCACAGAGTTCAGTCAAATAAGGCTTTTTTAAAAACTGCTCTTACATTTACACCTAAAAGAGAAAATTTCTTAATAATTTCAACATTTTTTAAAGCTGTTTGAAAATAAGGCATTTATCTGGTATGGTTGACTAAAATGTAGCAATCCAAACCTGAATTTGATGCTTGGTCCTGTTTCTTACTTGCAACAGAGACTAAAATATTCTTTTATAAAGTATCTGATTAACACACATTTCTGACTATTATTATGTACCTTGGTCACAGAATCACGATTTATGTTTTGAGGAATTGTGTAGATATAGAGTAATAATACTGATAACTGTATGATAAAGTTGAAACAGGATACACTAGCTGAGTGTCATTAAGATTTATCATATAACCTTCACACTTCATACAACATCAGGTCAATTCTGGTCTTGTCACATAGCTGTTTAACCAACAAGCAGCACATCCTACATGCTGAAATCAAGTAGGCACAATAGATATTTTAAAACTTTAACAAATGGCGTTTGATCTATTTGTCGATGAGAATGCCGGAATCTGTGTCTGTGCCAGGCTGTTTGCCACATGAGCGTCTATATTGCCACTGGATAACCATGATTATAAGAGGAAGTAGACAGAGAGCACAAACTCCAGCCATAACATAAGCTACTACCATCAGAGCTGACTGGTCATTAGTGGATTTCACATAGAAACAATCTGTAATATTCTCTGCAAAAGAAATAAAGAAATTTTATGAAATTTAATTACAAGTCAAACTGTGTTAGCCTGCGCACTGCAGACAATTTTACTTGTGCTGTCTTTAGTGTATTTGCTTCTAATTCATCACAAGAAAAGACCATGGCTCAGTACATTTCTGGCTTATTAAGCACAAGGTTTGGTCATTTCTTCTTTTTCTATTAGTGTTTCTTATATTAGACACCCGGAGTAAACCCATGAAGTTGAGAGGGCACCCCTATCTCCAAGCCTCATACGCTCACAGTTTGGCCATTAAAGTTCCTTGGGATTTTACAGACTGGTTTCCATGTATTGGTGCTGCAGAAATGATGGGCAGACAAGGAAAAGTGTTTAGCTATCCTGATTGCAACTGAAATAAAAGTGGGCCATGGTGCTGCTGTCAGGGCAAAATTCCACTTATATCAAAATGTGTGGCATATTCCTTTATCATTATTAGCCCAGTTGGTGTTGAAAAGTAGGATATTAAACGCCATTTCATTTCTCATTCTCCATATTAACAAAGTATTCAGATCAAGTTACATTTAATTTAATGCTAGAAATCAAATAGCATATACAATCTGATTAAAATACAGATCTATATTTCATTTTGTTTTTTTTATACCTTCGATGGCCTACACCACATGAAGATCTGACCGGTTGTAGCGATAGGTTGCGTCAGAGGTCATCCGAGCGGATTTTGACCCTATGACGTCAGACATTTGATTGACCAATCAGCATTGATGTTACTAATGGATTACCCATAGTTCCGTCTAAAACACGCCTAAAGCTCGCCGTAACAGACCGTTTCATTGGCTAATAGCTCACATCATTCAGAACATGTCAGTGATAACAACTCTTCCAGATCCTAGTGTAGTAAAGACAATTAAAGACAATTTTGAACTATAAAAATGAAACGAAATAGGATCTGTGTTTTAATCAGATTTATAGCATATAATAAATTATAAATATAAATACAGTTGAAAAAGTGACAATCGTGACTAAGATATGTCATGTCTTGTGATTAAATTAAATGAAAACAAAACAAATCATGCTATATCACTGTCCACTAGACAGAGGGTAGTTTAAGAAATTTGAAACAACTCCAAAATGACAGTTTAATACAGCAAATACAGAGTATAAATCTTCGAGTCCACATACATCAACAGGGTATTTTAAAATAACCATAATGTAGTTAATAACATTGTGAGGAAGGATAAAGGGAGGTAATACCCTTGTATATATATTGAATTTAAAATATATATAATGTTGATCAGGGGTGCCATTAATGTAGATTATATCATATAGTGATTATTATATATCGTCATTTTTTCCTGGAGAAACCATTTTAGATTTCTGCTTTTCCATGTTGATAATTTCTATGTTGAAGGTTTACTACTTTCCCAAAGATAATTTCTCGGTTGAAGGTTTTTACCTTCCCAATGATAATTTCTCTGTTGAAGGTTTTTACTTTCTCAAAGTTAATTTCTCCGTTAAACCTTCCCAATGGTAATTTCTCCATTGAAGGTTTCTACCTTCCCAATGGTAATTTCTATGTTGAAGGTTTCTACTTTCCAAATGATAATTTCTCCATTGAAGGTTTCTACCTTCCAAATGGTAATTTCTATGTTGAAGGTTTCTACTTTCCCAATGGTAATTTCTATGTTGAAGGTTTCTACTTTCCAAATGATAATTTCTCCATTGAAGGTTTCTACCTTCCCAATGGTAATTTCTATGTTGAAGGTTTCTACTTTCCAAATGATAATTTCTCTGTTGAAGGTTTCTACTTTCCAAATGATAATTTCTCTGTTGAAGATTTCTACCTTCCCAATGGTAATTTCTCTGTTAAAGGTTTCTACTTCCCCAATTTCTCCGTTGAAGGTTTCTACTTTTTTCAATGATAATTTCTCTGTTGATATTTATTTGTTTAACATACAACTATTTTTATAAATCATCCCGATGTTGGGATTATAGCTACTTAATGAGTACAAATATTGATATATAAATAAAACACCCCACAGTAGCAGCATGGGAAGCTTTTTATGTCTCTACTCTTTCAAAGATAATTTCTTTGTCATATTTATTTTTCCAACTCACTATGATGTTGGGATTACATCATGGTATAACTATAAACATGTTAATAAAAGGAAACAATCCCACAATACTAGCAAGGTTCTTATCTTCTATCAGCATGATATTAAAAGTTTTAACTTACTTGTAACTATAATAGGTCCCTGTATGGTATCAGTAGAACCAGTGTTATATACAGCAGGACAGGTTGTAGATGCAAAACCTATCTGTTTATTTTCACGATCAAATATCACATAGTAACCCTCCATTAATACAGCACCTAAAACTGTTCCTATACGTACAAAATAATAAAATAGAAAATGAATGTATTTTGTCTATATAAAACATTAACACAATACTGAGGCAATTAGACAAAACCATGCCGATGGGAAACCAAATCCCCCATGGTGCATTCCATGTAGTTAGGCCCGATTGTGTTCACGTCCACGTCCACTCAACACAAAATAGGTCATTTTAAGACTAGCATAGGGTACTACTTTATTTTAATAATTATTAACTCCATTCGGCATATAGTTTGGGACTAACATGTGGTTCAATTTCATTTCAATAATTCGCTTGCGCGCAGGGGTCTTTAGCAGTGGGAAGAAACTGGAAGACACTGAGAGAACCCACGAAGTTGGACAGGCGAACCCAACTCCTAGTAATAGAAGGAAACCTGGGTCCCAGAAAAAAACGTCTTAGGTGCCCATACTCCTTATTATGTACAAGTGCAGAACCAAAGACCATCTATATATTTTGAACAGGCAAGATAAAGATAAGAGAGAGAGAGAGAGAAATGGGGTTTAACGTCCACTCGACACAAACTAGGTCATTTCGGGACTAACCTATGGTTTAATTTTATTTACATAATTCGCTTGCGCGTAGGGGTCTTTAGCAGTGGGAGGAAACCGGAGGACCCAGAGAAAACCCACGAGGTTGGACAGGCGACCCTACTCCTTGCCACGTACAACCGGGGATTCGAAACCACGCCAGTCGACTCAATGACAGACTTTATGATACAGCGCGCGCACGCTAACCATTCAGCCATCCAACCCCCCTTAAAGATAAGAAAACTCATTACCTGATTCGGAACTTGAGATACCAAACTTAAAACATTTTTGTGGGATATTATCAAGTTTTGAAATAACTGACATGAATGATGATGTATCTGTCACAAGTCTTAGATATTTCTGAAACAAAAAAAAGAATGAAATACATGCATTTAGGCCATATTGTTTAGTACTAATTTGTTTTTCAGACAAAAATATTTTTCACACATTTCTCCTCTTGCCAGAGCCGATCATAAATATTTTGAAGTTATTATGTTTCAGACATAGAGTTCATTATAACATTGAGTAATTTATAATTGATCTAAATTTCCCATACTCCTCGCAGTGTTTCGTTTGATTAGAGCTAATAACACTACTCACTGCTGTAAAGAAGGCAAATTCATGTTCTAAATTATGACTGGTCATTAGTCCGATTAACAACCAATAGCTAACTGCGTAACAATACCAAACAAAGCTCCAAATTGGACCAAATATGTTTACATAACGTTACGTCATGACTCACAATTTTATTATGCCCAATTAACCAGTGCATAGCAGAATATTGCAGAAAAACTAATTGTGTGACAAACGAGGCTATCAGCACGAATACAATGTAAACAATACTCTATGGAGACGAACAATACTTTCACCTTTTTTAATACCTTAAATCACTGTCCAAAGTTTTAGGGAAGGTCCCTGATTAAAAGAAGGGCTGTCATGTTGCTGTGCTTGAGGATATAATTGACTGAACGGGAAGAATAGACACACTCCCTCAAAAGTGCAAGTATCAGAAGCTAATCCAGCAATGGCCAGAGAGGGATTTCTCAGGCCATTGCTTCAGGAATATGAAATTTCCTCGCCTTTTTATTCCAATGAGTGAAATAAATAGGTTTACATCATACTCTTCTACTCTTATTCACAGAGAGAAATGGGTTTTACAAACTAGGTCATTACGCAACTAACAAATGGTTCAATTTTGTTTCAGTAATTCACTTGTGCATAGGGGTCTTTAGCAGTGAGAGGAAACCGGAGAAAACCCATGAGATTGGACAGGCGACCTTACTCCTTGTCACGTACAAGCAGGGGATCGAAACCATGCCACTCATCTCAATAACAAACTTTAAGATTTCACGAGTCAAACCACTAGACCACCCAGTGCCACCCCGGACTAATGAAGATAGGTGGATTAGTGATAAATGTGATAAACTATCTCTACTTACTTGTGGTGAAAGATGTAATTTAAATATAGAGTTTTTAGTCTTAAAGAAAGATAATGATATGGTAGGAAAGGCATTAAAAGGGACGTCAGTATCATTCCAACATATGACTTCCTCACCATTCCAAAATGTTTCTGGTATTTTTGTTTCTATATTCTGTAAAATAAAAATAGAAAATGGATTGCGTACAATATATGACCTCTATCTTTGCCTGAAAACTCGACACAAACTAGGTCATTTCGGTACTAACATATGGTTTAATTTTATTTACATAATTCGCTTGCGCGTAGGGGTCTTTAGCAGTGGGAGGAAACCGGAGGCCCCGGAGAAAACCCACAAGGTTGGACAGGCGACCCTACTCCTTGCCACGTACAACCGGGGATTCGAAACCACGCCAGTCGACTCAATGACAGAATTTATGATACAGCGTGCGCACGCTAACCATTCAGCCATCCAACCCCTGCCTAGATAAAAGTATTGTTTCCATGTTAGAGTAGGCTACTCCTTGGTTTACACGGATGTAGTAATAACTCATCCAGACAATGGTTAATTATAGTCCTGGCATGAAATATCGTTGAATTGATGTATCACAACTCTTTTTTATGCTTTTTTTTCTTGTCGCTTCAGTAATTAACCTTTCACTCTGATTTATCCATGTCACACATTAGGCCACCTAAAAAAAATAGTTGGTGATCGTCCTTTTTTTTCAAAAAATGTGGGAGGGAGGGAGGTTTTTTTGGAGTTTTTTTTTTAATGAATATACAGAATAAGCAATATACTTCAGGAATATTAACCTTTTATTTCATGTCAAAACACAACTCATCTGCATGATCGTCATTTGAATTGTTCAGATGAATTATTTAAACTTTTGATATTCCGACTTGGATTCAATCAGATAATATAAAGAGATTTATAACTGAACACTTAAGCCTATAGGTGGTGCCGACTGGTTTAATGTTGCAGGATATCAAATGTTGCAAAATTTTAAATTCATATCATGTCTTTGGACTGATATTCTTTTTAGACATTCAACTTTCATAATATTGTATTTTGCGAATAGTAAGACCAGAAGAGCCCCCCCCCCCCCCAAAAAAAAAAACATTTTGCATAACGACTTACGATCACTAATATTAATAATCGGTCGATTTAGTCATTCATGCCCCCTATGGCCATTCCGAAAATCTATTGTTACATTTATTCCAGAGACTGTTCCATGTAATTCAGAATCGGTGAGACGTATTCCCATCTTAACATATAGTTCCAGGTTGTATATGTTGTATTCAAAATATTGTATTTTGGTGCTGTACGCGTGCAAACGAAAATGTCAGCCATTGCTGCTGTTAACAGGTCGTAATTTGTTTAGGTCATTCTGTCCTACGCATTTTACAAGTATTGGAACACGTGCCAATAATTATATTCGCTTCATTAACTCTTGCGATTAGGAATTTCGTAGCCTGGCTACATTTTGGAACTTTTACCATTGGTTTTAAACATCGTAAATTTTGAAAATAAAAAATAAAAAAAAATTCTGGTCGGGTAGAATTTTCTGGGCGGACGGGGACGATCACCAACTAATTTTTTTTATGTCGCCTTATCCATACATGTAGGTACTGTTAAATTGTTTTGGTCCTTATTTTGATCCGACATCAATATCGTGATATAAAAGAGTTATATTTCTACGACATCGGCAAGACTAAAAATATCTATTATTCATTTATCCTGTTGTTTTTTTGGTAAATAATGATCTGGTTATGAAATCGTGATACAAATTTTATCACAGCACATAAATTGCAATACGTCTTGTGACTGCAGTGGATATATCAAGCACTAGTTAATGAGCGGATAATACTTGCAACTGTTGCTTCACGAACATATCAGGACCTGCTTTCTAGAGAAAACTGATTTTCGTTCTTAGCCTATTTATCTAAGCTGACTTAGGAACCAGACACAGGGGACAACATATGATCACAAACAAGACTTCAACATAGTAAATGTAGCAAAGGTTAATGAGCTGATAATGCTTGTATTCGTTGCTTCGGGAATATGAAGATATGGATACACATGTAAAGCTAATACTCACAAGAACTTTAGCTGTTATTTGAGCTACAAGCGTTTTAAAAACTTTGTCAGGGAATCGAACATTTGTTGTACCGCTATCAACTATTGTTTTATCAAAATTATACTGAAATATAAAATAATATTTCATCCATTATGTCTGAAAGGTTTAAATTCAATAAATTCAAGAACAATAAATATATAATAATAAAAAGTATTGTTTTGTTGTAACCAGCCGATGAAGGGCCTATCACCCGAAATGCGTTCTGGATAAATCCTTTTTATATCCACACAGTCTTGTCAAGTTTGTTACCGGGGATTTTTTTACTATGATTTATCTACAAGGATTGGTTCCTGTCTTTCCATGCATCACTGAGATCCAAACTTGCCTGCACTGTTATAGGGACTCTTCCTCGATTCTTTTCCGATCGAATGTGAGGTTTTATTGTCTCCTTCTTGTGACCAATAAATATAGCTAAATATGTTGAGAAGCAACCCCTATACGCAGTGAAGATTAGACAAACTCCTTGGTATTAATAAACAAATATAGCGAAATGTGTAAAAGCATTAAAACATACTGCAAAATTGAGATAAGGCTAAAATTATCATATTCTTTGAGAGAGATGGGTTTAATGTCCACTCGTCACAAAAGTCTTTTCGGGAAAACATATGATTAAATTTTATTTCGATAATTTGGTTGCACGATGTGATATTTAAAAGCAGGAGGAAACTGGAGGATTTGGATAAAACCCATGAGGCTGGACAGATGACCATACTCCTCGTCACGTACAAATGGGGAGAAGAAACCACGCCACTTGACTCAATGACAAACCTTGTGATCTAACTCACACGCGTTAGACCAATCAAACGTATACTCACGTCTAATGTGAAATGAAATGGGGTTTATCTTTAATGTCCTACCCCGACTGGGCTAATGAAGAGGGGTATAAGGCATACAGTGTGCTATGAGGGAAATGTTGCCTTGACAGCAGTGCTATGGCCTACTCTTATATCGAATTCCAACTGTCAAGGCAACTTTTTTGTCCATGCCAATGTGTATACGGGACCTCGTCTTTTTGGCCCATCCGAATGACTATACTTTGTCCCTTGCCAGGCCCTCGGTCCTGCACCAGTGACAAGGAGGAACCACGCCAGAAAATCCTGATGAACTTTCTCGCCAATGCAGGGAACGAACACAGGACATCCCGTTTAGCGAGCCGTCTAGCTGACTGAGCAACTGTGGTTCCCCTAAAGTATATAAATAAAATACTTGTTTACAGAAAATACAGAGCAGTACCAACTAAATATACACTGCAGAAAACACACTCACCTCTTTACAGTCCAAATTTAGACTTGCTTGATCGACTTCTATATCTGTTATTAAAACTTCATAATACCATTCTTTTTGTATAGGTGTATAAAATATATTACCTTTATATAAGTCACTTGATATGCCTCCTATAGTCTGAAAAATACAACATAACAAGAATATATCTAACTTGATATATATCTTCTATATCTGAAATATACAACACCACAAAAATATATCTAACTTAATATATCTCCTATATCTGAAATATACATTACAACAAATATATATATATCTAAGAATCAGCAAGTGAACAGACATAAATTTGGGAAATCAGGTACAAAAATGAAGTCAGAGCCTATGATTGGACGTAGTGAGATGGTCAACCCACTTCAATAGTTTTATCAGATGATTGTGACATGTTGGTCTCTTTGTGGTTATAAAGATTAATGTTTGTCACGGCACACAAGAAAGATCTTCATAAGTGTGCCGCGAAATTTTGAACGGCACACTAAGAAAATGTGAAAAGCCACTTGATCCCAATTGAGTATTCACTGGCGTCTATTGATACGTTCATAGCTGTGTTTTCCTTTATTTAGTTGAGTCATTCTATGTTTCGTTGTATGCCATCTATGACTTGCCGTGTTGTTATTTTGCAAAATTCAGATATTTTTCATATATATTTAGCCACGTGTGCCGCTATTTTGTCATGTGTTCCAAGGTGTGCGGTTCCAAAAAAGGTTGAGAACCACTGGGACAAGCAATGGCATGGATTTAAAACTGTAGTCAATACAAACGCAACAAAAGTAAACATACATGTAGTACATGATGAGAATAAAACCCTGTTATGATTCACTTAAAATAATCAATACTGATAAATACATTTGTGGATGTTCAGGTAAATTGAACAATTAAAGCTGCTGTTAGCCATTTGAGGGATTTTGAATCCCTTGCAAACTGCAATATTATAAAAGTTGAAGCTCTAAAAGGAATATCAGAACAAAGATAAACATTCAGCATTCTCTGCATATGTTACAAACAAGTCAGTGCCACATATAATGTTGGGTAAAAAATTTTGATGGGTCTCTTTTAAATGTAACTGAATCCAAGTTGTGAGATCATCGATTGTTGATATTTCAATTTTGTTTTCTTAACTAAATGATACATTTTAGCATGTGAAAAATTAGATGTTGTTCAAAAACTGTACGGACGGAATCATAAATTTTCTCTTTAAACCAATACTAACCATAGAACCTCCCATACTGTCATCATTAGATGACGATATATCGCCGCTAATATCTGACGATGGACGTCCACATAACTGTATAGAGAATGTATTGTTCAGTTTGCTTTCTTCAATCAATGTATCAAAAAATGGTGTCAATGAACTGTCAGGCTGAAAAGAGAATTTATCAAAATTAAGAGATGAACATGAAGCTGGATTTAACCCTTTCAATGCTAGACGTAAATCCACTGCCTGTGCTAGACCCTTTTTTGAGGAAAAAAAGGGGGGTTGGAACTGAATGCCAAAAAGTACTTATGGAAGCTTTTATGAAAAATCTTTTTGTCTGTTGGGATGGGCATGAGGTTGGGCTAAGAGGAAAAAATAGAATTTTGGAAATTTGCATAATAATGAAGTCATGTGACGTCATGGCGGCCATTTTTGATTTCTCATTTCTCACTAAAGCTAACACGAAAACGGACTTTTCTCCATGAAACACTTATAAAATATTGTTTTTTTCACTGGATTTTGATAAAGATATAAAATAAACAAAAATATCAATGGCAGCCATGAGCAATGCCACCACGAACATGCGCATCACGTCTCCCGCTCCCATGACCACGTGCAGATTGCAATACCTTGTTTTTACTTTCACTTTCATCCCCAAGTCCCATATCTTTATCAATATAGTCAGTCAATAGATCTACACGTTCGGGACTCAGGAATTGCCTACGTCTTTTACGATCCCGCATTCCAGCATTATTATCAACATCAGAATTATTGTCAGAATCTACTGCAGACACAGGGCTATCGTGTTCACACTGGGCTTGTTCATCATGCACGGGAGACATAGCTAGCCATGGGCGTAACGTCGCGCAACAAATCACACACTTCATACTCCCATATCACTGTCCTGACTACTATCATTATCAAGTAACTGGAAACGAATTAAGTGTACCCCCCGCCTCGAAATTGTCCACGTGTTGGTCAGCAAGACGTCATTCACGACTTCGTCGAGAGTGCATCGTCTACGTTGTCACTATGCACTCTGCCATTTTACGGTTTGCCGCTTTGAAACACGTGGAAATATATTCCAGTGTATAGAAAATACAACAGATGGCAGTTACGGTACTAATTTTAGCGAGGGCTTTACTGAGTACACGGTAATACCAGGTACTTGTATTTTACCGACATTTTATAATACCCGGTACTACCGGGTATACGCAATGAAAGGGTTAAGTTCCTACTTTTTTGCACCAACTGTGCTAATGAAGACTGGCATATGTTATGCAGTGTGCTGTCAGGGTTTTCTTTTGCCCAGACAGCAGGATTTCTTACTACTATTCATCAAATTCCAACTGTCGAGGGTTCTTTTACGTGCACACCAACGTGGTCACAGGGCCTTGGTTTTTCGTCCCATCTGAACGACTCTACTCTTTGTCATGTACAAGACTGGAATCGCAACCACACCACTTGACTCAATGACTGACCTTGTGATCTAATGTGCACACATTTAAATTTAACCATTTGCCCCCCCCCCCCCTAACATTTTATTGTAATAATAAGGAGATTTAGCTTACTCTTGCTATAACTCTGTAGGCGAGACCAACAATTCCCTGCCATTCAGATCCATTTATAAAGAAATTACGGGAACTTGTTATACAAACAATATTTGGACGGAATGTGACATTTGGTAAGAAGGTCAAGGTTATATCATCTTGTCCGAGTTCACCCGACCATTCACCTTGTGTATAAGGTACATGTACTTCACGGCCATCTTTCACATAAGTGCTTGATCTGCAATAAAAAAAAATAATGTCATAGAATATTTGAACATCAAAATGATATACTGTCTATTACTAAGATTACCACTACAATGTACTTTATGTGAAGGAAATGGAATAGGGTTTAACCTCTTACATGTACTTTATGTGAAGGAAATGGAATAGGGTTTAACCTCTTACATGTACTTTATGTGAAGGAAATGGAATAGGGTTTAACCTCTTACATGTACTTTATGTGAAGGAAATGGAATAGGGTTTAACCTCTTACATGTACTTTATGTGAAGGAAATGGAATAGGGTTTAACCTCTTACATGCACTTTATGTGAAGGAAATGGAATAGGGTTTAACCTCTTACATGTACTTTATGTGAAGGAAATGGAATAGGGTTTAACCTCTTACATGTACTTTATGTGAAGGAAATGGAATAGGGTTTAACCTCTTACATGTACTTTATGTGAAGGAAATGGAATAGGGTTTAACCTCTTACATGCACTTTATGTGAAGGAAATGGAATAGGGTTTAACCTCTTACATGCACTTTATGAGAAGGAAATGAAATAGGGTTTAACATCTTACATGCACTTTATGAGAAGGAAATGAAATAGGGTTTAACCTCTTACATGCACTTTATGAGAAGGAAATGAAATAGGGTTTAACCTCTTACATGCACTTTATGAGAAGGAAATGGAATAGGGTTTAACCTCTTACATGCACTTTATGAGAAGGAAATGAAATAGGGTTTTACCTCTTACATGCACTTTATGAGAAGGAAATGAAATAGGGTTTAATCTCTTGTATGCACTTTATGAGAAGGAAATGAAATAGGGTTTAACCTCTTACATGCACTTTATGAGAAGGAAATGAAATAGGGTTTAATCTCTTGTATGCACTTTATGAGAAGGAAATGAAATAGGGTTTAACCTCTTACATGCACTTTATGAGAAGGAAATGAAATAGGGTTTAACCTCTTACATGCACTTTATGAGAAGGAAATGAAATAGGGTTTAACCTCTTACATGCACTTTATGAGAAGGAAATGAAATAGGGTTTAACCTCTTACATGTACTTTATGTGAAGGAAATGAAATGAGGTTTAACAACCTACATGTATATATATATATTTTTCTGCACTAACTGAACTAATAAAGACATTTGTTAAGCAGACATTATAAACAAACCAGTGTCACCGATAAGTGTTGGGTAAAATCTTTTGATAGGCCTCTACATTTATTGAATCTGGATGAATCTAAGCAAGAAGTTCATCTACATGTATTATTGAAAGAAATGTTGGTTTTGTTCTGTTAATTAAATATTAAATAACAATTCTGGTTACATTATAGCATGGAGTTAGCAATGAAAACTTAGACATTATTATTGTCTAAAACATGCCTATGTTATTGCTATATTATTATTACACATTTCTATAAGTACAAGAACTGCCACATGATGTGCTCATATGAGCTTTACATATTATAGAACAAGACAATATTATATTTATATAATTTAAAACAAATTTAGATAAAATAAAAGGATCACTGGGTAAAAGCATTGGTCTTTCCACTTCTCAAGAAGAGTACATTAGATTACAACGATTTGAAAAGCTACAGACCTGTCTCTAACCTGTCTTTCATCTCTAAACTTACTGAAAAGGTTGTAGCAATACGTTTCAAAGCCCACCTGAAGTTACACAATCTTAACGAACCCTTCCAATCAGCATACAGAAGCAAACATAGTACAGAAACAGCCTTAACTCGTGTGAATAATGATATCCTAACTAGTCTTGACAATAAAAATGTGGTTTTACTGGTTCGTCTTGATTTAAGTGCCGCCTTCGACACAATCGACCAGTCTCTACTGTTAAAACGGCTACATGACGTTTTCGGACTCGAGGGTAGTGTGCTAAATTGGTTCCGGTCATATCTTACATCCCGTCACCAATCCGTTGTCATCAATAAGGTTAAGTCTTCATCTGTAGAACTTAAATTCGGCGTGCCCCAGGGATCGGTGCTCGGACCGTTGCTCTTTACTGCTTATACCACTCCTCTAGGGCGTATTTTGAAATCATTCAATCTGAATTATCACATCTATGCTGATGATACTCAACTTTACATTTCAATTAAACCCGAAAATGAATTTCTTCGAGTGTCTAAACTTGAATCATACATTGATGCTATTAAGTGCTGGATGAAAAAGAACTTCTTAAAGCTCAATGATGAAAAAACAGAGTTCGTGCAAATCGGTTCTAATCATCATTTATCCAAAATATCTGTAAGTAATATCTCAATTGGTAATTTTAATGTTAACCCGGTTAATAGTGTTCGAAATCTTGGTGTAAGTTTGGATAAGAATATGAACATGAATGCTCACATCTCCTCAATCTGTAAAGCTTCCAACTTCCAACTTCACAAAATTCGACGGATCCCAATTTCCTCGACATTGACTCTACAAAACTGTTAATTAACTCTTTGGTGACCTCACGTCTCGATTACTGCAACTCGTTACTCTACAACTTACCAGCATATCAAATTAATAGACTACAAAAGATTCAAAACAAAGCTGCAAGAATTGTTACAAGAACTAAATTATACACCAATATTACCCCTGTTTTGAAAGAACTCCACTGGCTACCGATTAAGACCAGAATCGATTTTAAAATTCTCATGCTGACTTTCTGTGCTTTGTCATGTGATGACTCTCCTATATATATTAAAGAATTAATTCAACCCTACCACCCTACCAGAAATCTTCGTTCCGAAACTAAATACCTTATTAAATCAGTAACTGCAAACTCTTCTTTCAGTAGACGCTTCTTTGCTTTTGCGGCAGCAGAACTGTGGAATTCTAATGATTTTCCTACAGAACTAAAGTACTGTGCATCAATTGTCCGTTTTAAAAAGAATCTAAAAACCCATCTTTTTAGAAACGTTTTCTTTTAACTGTTGATTTTCTAACTAGTGACAGTAGTGATTTGTTTTAATTGACCATAATGTTACCAAAGAGCAGCTTTGGTTGGATTTTAGGACATTATTATTAAGCTTTCATATTACATATGAAAGCTTATTGTTTCTGTTAAGATTATTATTGTTATTTTTTTTTTGTGTTTTGTCCACAAATCGGATTTCTCAGAATCTAACCATAGGATCGTTCTGAAACTTTTACCTATCCCCCAAAAAATGGGTGGTGGCTGTTGATTAAATATATTTTCAAAACGTTTTACGAATCCGAAATCACCGAATTTTACGAAGGAATGCATTTGACCTACAATGCTGTAACTTTGTGACTATTTGACCTATTTTACTAATTCTTTTTCTTTGAGTATCTTGAAACATTTACTTCAAATCTGCAATTTCGGATTTTGGCATTTCGAAAATTCGTCGCTGTCATTTCGAACCGGAAGTTATTACCAATTTGACAACTTCTTTAATAGTTGTGCGATTTTCGTGAAATTTAGAATGTTAGTAGATCTTGCCAATGCGACTTCAATGATGTCCTTGGAAATTTTCTAAATTATCTCCCCTTGGTGAAATTAAGGATCAAAGTTTTCAAAAAAATCGTCGAAATATAGGTCAGAATGACCTAAAAAAAAAATTCGATACTAGACAAGTAATTACTGATTCGTACACAAAATATGGAGTTTGTCGATCGAACCGGAAGTGCCACCATCTTTAAACGTGAAAAATCAAAAAGGCTTTTTTGCTATTTTACTTACAGACTCGGGCGTCATATTTTCGGAATCCTGGAAGGAATGCCTAAAAATCTATCGGATCAGAATTTTGATTTCGGTCACGTGATGGTCACCATTTTGAATTGAAAATGAAAAATAGAAGCAATTTGAAGGGCCGGGACTTTGGAACACAAGAACTCTCCTTCTAATTAAGCTAGAATGTTCAAACTTGGTGTAGGCGTTCACTAGGTCAATGTCATGATTGAGTTCAAAGATGAGCATTTTTTGCCTAGGGTAAGCAGAGATAAGCAAGCTGATTTGTTGATTCTTTAGGGCACGATGACATTGGTTATAATGAATGGAGGGCGATGAAACTCTTGTCAATCGAGAGGCTAATAGCTGGCCTGTTGTGTGAAATCATTGTATCATTTTTTGAAAATGTCCGGGGTAGCCGAAAAAAGGAGATCGAAATCCAAAAAGTCGTATTTTTACGATTTGGGGCATTTTTAGAGGTCGTGTAAAGTAAAATAAAGCATGCATATACATATATTATTGATATTAAATATATCATATAAAAGACTAAACAATGAATCAGCTGTCATTGACAGATTTTATATTATAAGCATGGTCAGTGGAAGGTCAGCGTATTGTCTAACTTGAACTCACTGACTCCGTAACATTATTGTGGGTATGGTATAAGCTGAATTTGATGAGATGCACATATCTCGTATGACTATTTGGTACTTACAGTGTTAGACTTTGTCGTAACGTTACGGTCTCCATTCATCAAATCGTCGTTGGGGCTATAATACGATTTTGAATCAAGTTATTTATCACTGAGGGACTCAAAATTAGGTTTGATGTAGCTCTGCTCATTTACAGTGGCGAATTTAACGGGCTCATGGGTTCCAGCTCCCTCCTCTAGAAATTTCACAGCACCCGCATGGATTGTGGCTAATGTACTGAATTTCTTAGACAGTTATCAGAAAGGTAAATATTTGTGATGTTTTTTTTATTTGTATTCTCCGCCTTCTTGCCACTGGTATTATTCAAATAAAACTGAACCATGGGTGAGTCCTGAAATTACTATGTTTTTGTCCAGTGGACGTTAAACCGCAATTCTCCTCTCTATCTCTCCTTGTACTGCTAATGCCTTCCTGTCTTCATTAGCTGGTTTCTGCATGAAAATAAGATGTTAACCCCTGTGTAAGTGTCTTTTTCCTCTGTTGTACGAAATTAATGAGAGTAAACCAAGCTCCAGAATTTTGTTTTAATTGTGTACATGTATATGTTTATTTATATTTTTCAGCAAAGATGACTAGCCCTCCGTCGAATATTAAACCACATACAATATATTCTGTGAAGATGTCATAAGAGAAAGAATCATAAATGGCCAGCAAAGTTGTCTTGTACAGAGAGAGAGAGAGAGAAATGGGGTTTAACGTCCACTCAACACAAACTAGGTCATTTTGGGACTAACATACAGTTTCAATTTTATTTCAATAATTCGCTTGCGCGTATGGGTCTTTAGCAGTGAGAGGAAACCGGAGTGCCCGGAGGAAACCCACGAGGTTGAGAAGACGCCTCTATCTCCATGCCACATACGCTCACACCTGGGATCAAAGCCACAGCCACAGCCACAAGCCAGAGGTGACCGACCAGCTAGAGGTCGAAGCGCGGCACTCTAGGCCATCCCAACCCCCCTTTCTTGTACAGACCTGTGCATGTGTAGTCAATGTGAAAATGAAAAAAAAACTGTTAAAGAGACCGAATTTGATGTTAATACATTTAGTGACAGTGATGATGATAATGAAGATTAACTTTGATGACATTTGATGTGCAGAGTAACTGTTTAATTTTGATTTTCAATGATTGTTTCACTTTAATAAATAATTTCACAACTGTTCATCCTGTTTTCTAACCTTTCCCTTCATTCCAGCCCAGATACACAATTATTTTTTTTAACTTATATCTACATGTATGTTTGTAATTTGACCATTAATCATATCCGAAATAGTAGTTCACAGCTACATGTACAGTTGTAAAAATACTGTAGTGGCTAATTGAAAGGGAACATGTATGTGGGTTTAGAATGTTTATCTTAGTGGAAAAAAATCATGTGGTTCAATGCTTATAAAGTGCTACTGATCTCCATTATTTCAAAAGCATATCACTCAACTACTGTCAAACATATCCCCTGGCTAGAATATGCTACAAATCGACTCTAGCATGTTCCATACAAGCGATAATTTCTGAGCAAACATCCAACAACCAACCCTAACAGGCCCTTGAGATCCAACAAACAAAATAATTATTGGGCTTGTTTGCCCGCACCTGGTCTTATGATTCATACAAGACCTGATAGTCTATCAATTACAGGCATTTGACAGAAAGGGAGATAATTCTTTTTTACCGTTAATGGATTTCCACAATTCTTTATTCACCCATGACATTTGTGTTTTGAGCATTTTTATTTACATCAAAATCTGTCCAATAAACTGTTCATTGCCAATGATGAAGACACGAGGTGTTTTACCAACTATTTAATTTTTTGTCAACTTCAGAATTGTTAGTACACAAATAGCATTTATTTGACAATTTTGACGAATTTCATCTGGCCCTAAATCAATAAATTGCAAACATTTTGCTTGGAACTCCCAGATTTTGTCTTCCTGGCATCATAAACTTTCCAAAAATGTATAGTTTTTCTTTTATGGAAGACCGTGTAGCGGAGTTGTGTTTCTAAGCTAGCTAGAAATTTTGGCTGCAGGCCTACACCTCCCAAGCTAAATTTCCCTCATGTCATCCTGTATAGCAAAGGCATATGCCTGTCTTAATTAACCCAGTACTAAACACAATTTACTTGTTTAATTTTTCCAGCATTTTTCAGGATAGCTGATGGGATGCGGGTCAAGTTATGCCACTTGTCTATTTAATTATTTACCAGTGAAAAATCGAATTAACTTCACCAAATTTTTACTCATTATAATGATTTTTTTTTCTGTTCATATTATTTCTATGACATGTGACAGTGACTGTGAATATGAAAGCTTTAATATCTGCTTAGCAGATCTAGTTATTATTATTATTATTATTAAAAAACTTTTTAAATAAATATGTCTTTAGTTTAGTTGTAAATGTAGTGATAGCAGTGGCATTATGACTTTGAATTGGTAATTTATTCCATAACAATGGTGCTTGAACATGGAATGACCAGTAACTATGTTGATAAATTATAAGAGCGCTGTATAAGTAATGAGGTGTCAGGAGAGGATTGCAGATTTCTTGTGGGTTTATACATGTACATTGGTGCTGGCACGATATATCCTTGAATCAATATATCGTGATTCAGCATCTCACGGTTCGCATATTGAATCATGAGATGCTGAATCGATTTTTCACAGTTTTTAGGAGCTTTTTTGTCACCTCAGTAAGTAACATGTCACACTCTTAATTATCCATGTCACACATTATCTATACATGTACATGTAGGTACACAAACACTCTTAAATTATTTGGGTCCTTTTTTTTTTATACCTATCAATATCATGATATAAAAACAAGTTTTATTTCTTCAACATCGGCAGGACTAAAAATATCAATTATTCATTTATCCTTTTGTTTTCTACGTTATTATTGCTTTGGTTATGAATCGCGATACGAATCGTATCGCAGTACCTGAATACCAATAGTATCGTATTGTAACTGCAGTGGCAATACCAAGCACTAATGTACATGTAGTACAGTGTATGGCTACTTACTGATCTCTGTGAAAGTAAGTTGTTATTTCTGGACTTGGTGATGCTGCTATAGCTAAATTACTACTACCGGTATCAACTAATACATTTATCTAATAATGAAAAAAAATAAGTATTAAAAAAGACAATCAAATCATTTCAAACACTACATTTTGAGATGACTTAATGTTGGCAAACATTTAAACTTACTAAACACAAAATATTAAAACTTCACATTCTATTTCTTGATTATTAAATAATCAAAATCAGAGATCACTCATTTCGAACAGATAGAAAATTAAACCATTTGAGTAACACAGAATTAAGTCCTGTCACAGTGACTACAAGACAAACAGATGAGGTGTGAGGAGAATCATGATGTATTCACTACAGAGAACGTGTTGAAGATATTGTAATTGGTTGCGAAAGTGTTGTGTTGAGCTGGAGCAGGCCTTGTTTACTCCAAATGTTGACACCTTTAGAGAGAATGTGAAAAATAAATTCTGTAACATTGGGGACTAACATATGGTACAATTTCATTTCAATAATTTTCTTGTGCGTTGGGGTTCTTTCGCAGTGGAAGGAAACAGGAAGATCAGGAGAAAAAACAATCTGTTTCACAGAGGTATTACGAAAGCCTTCTTGTAAGACGACTGACCTTTATAAGTTCACATGTCTTCTATGTGTGATATCACATTACATGTCATCGATCATTGACTCGATAGCATTGTTTACATATAAAGACCATATAAATATACTGTTCCGGGCAAAATGCAATCTGATTAAAATACAGATCTATATTTCGGTTTTTTATACTTTCGATGGCTTACACTACATGAAGATCTGACAAATTATAGTGGAAGTTCACGTCAGGGGTCAAACGAGCGGCTTTTGACCCTATGACGTCAGACATTGATTAATCAATCAGAGTTGACGTTTCTAGTGGTTTACCCACAGTTCCGTACATCAAAAAGCCAAGAACTCGCCGTAACAGACTGTTTCATTGCCTAATCCCTCACATCATCCAGAACACGTCAATGATTACAACTTCCCCAGATCCTATTCCTAGTGTAGTAAAGACAAGTAAAACGAAATTTTAAACTATAAGAGGATCTGTGTTTTAATCAGATTGGGGCAAAATGATGCCTTTTATATACCCATTTACACTAAATAGGAAAAATTTTTAAACCCAGAGATATACTTCAAACACCTTTATTTACTTTTCTAATACTTCAAAAATATGTTCTAGAATTTAATTTGCAGAAGGGAAAACTTTAATATTGTGAGCTAATTAACCCTCAGTAATTGTAGTGGCCTAGAGAATATTCACTGCTGATCGATGTGGAAGAAACCCACAAGGTTAGGAAGGTGAGTCTACATGCGTGGGCTCGAAACTATGCCACCTGACACAATGACAGACCTTATGATCTTAAAAGTTACAATTTCATATTTTTAAGTTATATTTTTAAAATGTATTAATATAATGCCCTAAAATAGATGGTATCTATAAACAGTCCTACCTTGTTAAAGAATAATCCTATTAATCGGCTTAATCCTATAATTCACTATTGCCAGTTGAGAAATTGGCAAAAATATCATTTTCAATTTCAAATTCAAACGTTTGAGGATAGCTATTCCATGGTGGGGAATAGGAAAACAAGGGAGGTAATTGGGAGGTAATTGTGTTATTATTTCCGGTGTTATGATTTTTAAGTGTGAGAATGGCACCTATGATCGTATAATAGTGAGTTGACAACCTACATGTATTGAGCAAAAACCATAGAAATAATTATGTTTTGACTTTCTTAGAAAATATGAAATTGTAACTTTAAGTACAAGTGTAAGACAATTCGGCCACACAACTTCTGCTATCAATGTATAGCAAGCATTCAATAGCTTTCACCAAATTATTTATTTTTTGTTAACTCAACACATACATGTAAATACGGTACTCAACATTTAAACATGCATTATGCAAGAGCAAAATCTGCTTGTTACAAGTCTTTCTTTAGGCCTGAAATGTTATCTAAATTATCAATTAGACATTAATTAACTTATCCAGACCATAATAAACTCTCGATGTCAAGGCTAGCCTTCGATGTTGGCTGGATTAGATTCTGCCGCTAACGACCATTGATAATTTAATCAAAAAAAGTGGATAATCGAGACTATGCTGGTTATATTAATGATTTTAGTAATGATGACCGAGACTATGCAAAATTTCAACCGCTTTGTTCTTTCTCGGCTCATAGTGGATCAATTTGACTGACATTTTCAGCAAATTACCTTTACACTATCTAGTTTTTAACTATTATAGCGAGAACTGCCATATCTTTATCTTATCTCCCATAATGTATCTTTAATTGCATATAAATTTACACCAGTTTAAATTTACAAGATAAAATATGTAGAAACATACTGTACCTTTTGTGGAGGGCTTCCAACCAACATTTCCAAATAATAGCCTTCTCCAGCGTGACCATATAAATTTTTAGAAGCACTACGTTTATCAATAGCACGTCTGTCACTCTCCACGGAGTAACCTGTCATTAATGTTGTGACTATGGATCTCTTCAATGGAACATGATATATCCTTTCACTTGCATGACAACAGCACAGTTCAAAAACAGAAAATAGCACAACAACCGTTAATAAGACTAAATCTTTTCTTTCACCTTTATAGTTTCTAGTTCTGGGACAGATAAATTCTGCCATATTGTTGACCTTTACCAGTACTAACTTTTCTTAAAATTTCAACAAAATATTTTAACATTAAATTTCAGCATTCATTTTCATAAAACTAGAAATTGCTTCCTGCGAATCCATTTTAGTCTTTTGATTTGCACTTCAATTTCCATGAAAACTGGCTTGAACCATTTTCATTGATGTTCACTATTGCCTGAAATGAAAGAAAAATAAAAACTGTAGATACTGTACATACAATGTAGGCCATATACATTATGTTCTTTTCATATGCATAAAAAATAGGAAATAGATAATAAAACATACATATATATGTACCGTACTGAATTGCTAAATATGATTTAATGATGACCTCAATACCCGGTATTGTTTTTTTCATCTTCCTTATCTTACATATATTTTTTAACAACACAAAATATTAACGGTACATAGAAAAGCTAACCAACACGTATCTTTAATGATATTCCCTCAATCAAATCTTTATTTTTTATTTTTCTTTACAGTTATATTAGCCACACCTTAAACATGCATTGTAAGATTTAGAAAAAGAGCCGGTCGTTCTTGTTATCATAAAACAAGTTCAAAAATAGATAACGAAAAATGAACATATTGAAAATTTCAATGAACAACTTTATTCTCATTGAGTGTTTGAAGTTTTGACAAAATATCGCTACATAGTCCTGATTGTCAAGCATCCTTGCTATGATAATAAACAAAATCTTGACTATCCATTTTAACGTTAATTTATTCAATGGCACAGAGGTTCTAATCCATTCAATGTTTCTGCCATCTGGTGGTATACCGTACATGTATAGTTGATTATGGGCTTGTCATGTGAATTAATGTTTAAATAAAAATTTATATAACATTAATTGAAGCCAAAATTAATAGAGACCACCAACAGGCAGATTTAGCTCTCACATAATGCCACTTTAAAATTAAAATACAGGCATCTATAGGCCTACATAGTACATGTACATCTAGTTTAATAGATATAGAAAATGAGTTTTGTGATCCATATGGATATAAAAGTAAGTAAAATGGGTTACTGATATGACTCCATAGATATTTAATCAATATTATGAACATTTCAATAGTTAATCTATGGCCAGCGCACAGCTGTCACTGCTGCAGTTTTAGGAATGCGATATTGACAATTATATTTCATATATTTTTTATAATAGATTACAACAGCATTTATCGGTAGCTGAAATATGAAATAATATCTAGTGTTCTAGAAGCATCACATGATAAAATAAACTGATTTACATAGAAACTTCCTGATTGATGACGCAAATTTGTCATTTTTTCAGATTTTACTTTTTACTGTGGGAATGACTAGAGCAAGTACAAGTAATTTTCGACCATTTAGGTAGTTTATTCACAAGTCCACACCTACTCAAGGAGGAAATGATTCCCATATATAACGGTGAAACGTTAAAAAAAACACTTATTTAAACATGTCGAAATAAAACTACCAAATTCTTTTAAAACCAGAATAACAGAGTCACATAAAATTACCAAATACAATCTTCTTTCCGGTAATCCAATATTCCCAACCAAGAAATAGATAAACCTGAACGAAATGACTATTTATTGGAAAATATTGTTTTGTTAGCGTTTGTAAATGCGCCTTTTTAATCTAAAACCACCATTAAGAATTGAACAAAAGATTGGTCAGCTAATGTGTCTTTTTTTTATTGAAACATTATTAATATAATTTTCCATTTGTTTTTCTTTTTTTTTTACACGAAATGAGAACACGATTCTGCTACAAACTTAAATTTTGCTAACTGTATGATCAGGAATATTTTGTTAAATTATGGAAATCTGAAAAAAATGTGTACTCTTCTTTATCACTGATTGTTTTTCTTTTCTCTTTGTTTTTCTTACATTTTTGTAGCCAGATTATTATAAATTACTTCATTCATTTCCTTCAAAGTACATAAGGGAGGTAATCCCCAGTTTCGTGGAATGGTGTGAAATACTGACTGAATTTTTCGACCGAACTGAAACACTAGCACTGTGTAGCAACCTGCAAACAATATGGCGGTATGATAAACATGAAACTTCTGCTACTGAAGAATAAGTACGAAGTTGTGGATTTTATGATGAGAGAAATACTGTAAAATATCTTCTAGAATACCAAGGAACATTGTTTTATTTAATACAAATCATCCATAGGTATTTCAATAACTATTGTCATCAAACAACATGTTATAGGCTAATATACCTTCTTTTTATTTTGGGCACCTGCTTCGAATTCTGTTCTGGCGTTCTGCTGTCAATCACTGACAGAGATCTTGACTGACAGGTCAGATGAAGCAGTGTTATTGAAAAAGTGAGATCCTATTTGTTTCCCTCATTTTTTGGACTACCGTAAATACACAAGACTTAAAGTAGCTAAGTCTCTAACTCAATAATTATCATCAAAAATCTTCAACTTTGAAAACACGAATTATTTGTCAATTCAAATCAACATTGGTCTTGTGATCTTACAGGGAAAAGATGGGCGTCTGATATCCAATATTCCAGACAAAATAAACATTTTACCATTGGTACACAAATCGTGTACCATAATTTGTTTCAGCGCTATTTGGAACAAGGGACGAACGAGGCTAGACATATTCCACAAGTCATGTCAAATGGTGACGCTTTGTTCTTATCTGGAGAGCATGCGCAATAAGTACCATCGGTGTAGACTGGAATAACCAGACGCTAAAAATTGTCATTCAATTGAGACTTCTGGCGTATTTTGCGGAACATAACTGATTAGAAATTACTGTAAGAACAGAAAAGATTTAATGTAAATCAGTTTATATACATTCATATTACATTATTATATGTGTTGCGACCCATTTGTGTCAATTTTTAGGTACCAAGTATTAGCGATTTAGATCTTTAATAGAAGTACCGCTAGTAGTGTAATTTTAGCCTCCAAAATTTTGCTATAATTAGTATAATGAGGGAAATTTTCAAATGACTTATGTTTGTTAATTTTGAAGAGGATCAATTGGACTATAATATAAATAGTATAATAATAATAGCGAGCCCTTAATTTTAACCATGTAAATCATTTTGTTTAACACCTCAAAATTAAGATTATTAAGTCTAATTAATCATACCCACCCACTCTGGCTAGCATCAAAACAACTTTCAAATATGAACTCCATATTATTCCTGATTCTATTAGATTATTATGAATGATGACAATGCGTTGAGTGTTGATGGTTCTTGAATTTTTGAAACAGTTATTTATAGAAGGCTGTGAAACAAATGTGTGGCTAATGTTATAAAAATAGAATGCATGTTAACTTTTCTGACATTAATAAGATATATACCGGTATTGTACCGTTACCATATTAATTTTATTCAAGTTATTGAATTTAACACTTGATGTCCCGTTCTGAAATACTGATACTACCAGCTCTATATTTCATTAAAAATGATCAACTGTTTTGTTTTTCATATTAAGAAGATTAACTTGAAATAAATAAACATCAAAATGGATGACAGATTAAAGTGGCTAGAAACAAGAATAACGTCTTCTTTAAGACCAAGAAATGAAGACTTGAAGAATATGTTCCTAAATGATGAAAACAGGTACAGACTTGTATTGTTCAGGGGAGACTTTACCATAATATAGGAAATTGTTTGAAAGAGCTTATTTAATTTGGTGTTTTCAAACCAGTAAATAAGGCATCTGTCACAGACAATGTCAAGGCATGATTGCAAGTGCCTATCATGTTTGTCTGAACCGGGTTTGTTTTTTTCAGTGTTTTTATTGGTACATGTAAAAATATGTAGCCTTCCCGACACCAAGTTCATAATATCAAGCAGGTAGCCCAATATAGGCTTTTTTATCGACTTGCCAAATCGATTTGAATTTAGTGGAGATGTCATGTGACAGTATAGTCGATTTCAAAGTACTTTGGCGAGTTTGTTAAATGCTCCGATTAGCTGTAAACAATTGTTGTGGCTGGACACAGTTGAAAAAAAACATGTGATCACCCGATTAAATCGTCAAATCGCACCCTGATGTGATTTTGCAATTTGATGTAATCGGTTCGGAAATCAGGGTCGATAAATTCGTTGATTAGGGTAACCAATTTGAATTAGATGGACGTTAAAGATGAAAATTTGATTGAATGCATATCACTTTGGCTAATCAGTGGTCGATAAAAACGCCTAATATAGTTCATTATTGTCTGTCATTTTATCGGGTACAATTGAAATCATTAATTCCAGACTTGCTTATATTAAGAAATGGAACCCTCGGACTATTTGATTAAATTGACATATCAAATCAGATTTTGAGAGAAGATTGAGGTAACTTAAATTGAAAGGTAGAAAGAAAAAAGTCAGAAATAAACGCACATATTTAAGATAACTTCTCTTTGTTGATGTGGATTGGATTGGTTGATGTTTGAAACAAATATGTAGAAAGGGTTGTTTTTGTATTTAACTCTATGCACAACTCAGGTTTTGACAAAATCCAGCTATATAAGGACTATCTAGTGTTAGTTGTTAACAAGCCTAGACATAAGGCACATGTCACAGATATTGTCAGGTACAAATTATTACACAACACATAGTTTAAGATATATACGTTGTGTGATATTTTGTACTGGACAAAGTCTGTGATAGGCGCATTATGTCCAGGCTTGTTATATATAAGTTGTGTTATAATTTGTACTGGACAAAATCTGTGACAAGTGCCTTATGTCCAGGCTTTGTTGTTAAGTATCACCAACAGTCATTAATAATTACTGGAAACATTCATTTAACTTAAATATTTGATACCATTTTCCCCACGTTTGTTACAAGTATTTCTTTTTTTCGCATTTTGATCTTATCAAAGTCTGATTTTGATAAAGGCCTTTGACCATGTTTCATTTAATAATGGCTACAGTAACAAGTGTGTGTTGACAACATTCTCACTAGATTGCAAATGGCAGCAGTAGAGATTTTCTGAGACTAAACTTTTTCATCTTGTCAATATGACTATTATTTAGACATTTATAAAAGTACTGTTTCTTTTTTGTTGTTTGTCTTCCATTTGTTTAGCCGTTTACAAGATATTTTCAATAGTGCAACTGGAACAAATTAGGCCAGTAGTATCATATAAACAACTTAAATGTATTGAGAGTTCTGAGCTTAACTTTTGTCTTTGTATGATTTCAGATTGGCTTTTTATGAGTTTATAAATAATGAAGATGTAAAGAGATTGTATGTTTATAAACGTCCACCCAGAAATATCACAGCATCACAATTACCACCATATGATTTACAGTCTAAATGTATATTCTTCTTAAAATGTAACTCAGGTACCAAGTTAGCTAAGGATAATATGGGTAAGTGATTAATGATTAGTTGTTTTGTTTCCAAAATATATAAAATGGGTCATAGCCATGCTGATGAGGATGAGATTACACATTGTCCAACTGGAAAAGCTTGAAAAACTTTCTCGGACAATAAGAGGGTCGAACCAAGGAACTCTAGGTTATTACACCAGTGCCATATATTGCTTGTTTGATTAACTTCAGAAAAATGCCCATTGTTAGAATTAAAATTTATTCAAATGTGTTGAAGTACACAAATCAACACCCAAATACCCTATTTACTTCGTTGGAAAGTTTCAGTTCAAAACACTGAGCCATTTGAAAGTATTCAACAAAATTGCCATAATGAGTGACCTAAGGTTGCTTATAAACATGGTTATTCAGGCACTATATTACAGCTGTCAAAGTTTAATTAGAAACTAACCGCGGGGATTACGTGGCTAAGTGGGCTAGACGCTGGCTCGCTAGCTTGGAGGTCGGGTGTTCGATCCCTGCATTGGCCGAGAAAGTCATTCAGATTTTCCGGAGTGGTTTACCCTTGTCAGTGACGCAGGATGGAGGGCCTGACAATGACAGCTGTCTAGTCGTTCAGATGGGATGAAAAACCGAGGTCCCGTGTACACATTGGCGTGATGTAAAAGATCCCTTGGCAGTTGGAATTCGATATAAGAGTAGGCCATAGTGCCGCTGCCCGGGCAAATTTTCCCTCATAGCACACTGTATGGCATATGCACGTCTTCATTAGCCAAGGTTAGGAGCAGAACAATAGGACGTTAAACCCCATTTCATTTCAGAAACTAACCGCAGACTACACACAAAAACAGACCCTTTGGAATAATTACCACATAATTTTGAAAACTATTTCTAAGAATTCATTTAAAAATATTAACCCTTTAGACTGCATCATCTGTGAGTTTTTGTAATTTCTTTAACATTACATTTCAGATCAAGAGGTATTTTATATGGATTGTACATCTTTGCCATTAGAACATTTAGAATTAACTATAAGAGAAGTATTTTTACCATTATTGGGTATTAATCAGCCCAGTGTCACAGGGGCTGGTATTAATGGTGATAAATTAATGGACATTTTACATAGGTTAATGGCTGCGGTGGAGATTACACAGGGTCATGTTGAGGGCCGTATTATTTTAAACTTGCCATCAATAGAGGTATTAGCCGAGGCAGCATCAGCAGTGAACAGACGATCAGCTGTACTACATGTTTTAGAAACCACAGTCATTGGCTGGATAAAGCAAATAAGGGCAAGTTTCTACTTACTGTTTTTTAATATTTAGAAATTGATGTAACATTGATAATGCACATTCATCAGTTTAATTCAAACTCTAAATAACTGTATTATATGGTGAAAAATTCTTATCACTGTGAAACAGATACAATTAATTTATGCACCAAGAACTTTTACTAATGAACATTTTTGCCATTAAATCATAGAAGTTATCACAACCCTAAAAGTAATGTTTAGTATGTATAGAAAGTGGTTTCAAATTATACAGTAGTCATTAATTATCAGGGGTGTTATAACTAGCTGTAAACCATGCCACTTCTGGTGTGAAAAGAAGACTATTTCTAATATCCAACACTACTGAATACACAAACCCAAACAACAGTGGTGTATATCACTTTTTAGTCATGGTTTAACACCTACTTAATGACTACCATCTGATTACTAACCATTTAAACTGATTATCAAACATTACGCATATAGAATAATGACTATTACTAAAAGCCATGTGTTCATATGATGCTTCTGTTGGACTCCAAAGAAAAAAAAACATAAGATATTAGACACAGTAGTGACTTCACCATAGCCCTGATGAGATCCAAGTTGACATGTTTCAAATAACCCTCTCGGCTTTAACTTTAACCTCTTGATAACCAGTTGTAATGGAACAAACATTTATTGAGAATGTTTTATTTTACTTATTTTTAATTTGTTATTTCTTTATATTTTTTGGGGAGTAAAATTTGTGTATCAGTTGCCAGAACAGTTGACAGGGGTTTCACCTCAATTTTTAAATAAAATTAATATAATGTATGATGTTTTAATATTTTATTGAATAATCAGAAGTTTCAATGAATGTCAGTTGTTTTTGATTATTTTGCATTATTTCAATGTGGACTCTAGTTAAATAAAGATTGTCATGTTTTGTTTTTCAGACTGTTTTACGTCACGATCCCCAATCTGATCTATTATCACAGTTTGGAGCAGAACCCGGTCCTTTAGAGGAAATCAAAATGTGGGAAAAACAATTAGAACGACTGCAGTCTGTCAATTCACAACTAGATTCTGATGTTGCTCGAGATATTTTACACAATCTAGAACAAGCCAACAGTCAATATGCACATTCCTTTAATACTGTTAGAAAAGACATTGATAAGGTATTAAATATAAATATTACTACTGTCATTGATTTGAAGTCTAAATTATGTCTTTCATTTATAAAAATCTCAAATGGCCCCAATTTTCATTAACATGTAAACAGGTTGTTATTCTAGTTACTGGTAGAAACTATGAACCTTACATGGTAGTGTGTCATTTTGATCAAAACATTCATGCAGAGTGGTTTAATTGATTAGAAATGACATGAAATATCCTTCCCTTTTTTAACAGTTAGGATGGGACGAAAAACCAAGTTCCCGTGTATACATTGGCGTGCACGTAAAAGATCCCTTGACAGTTGGAATTCGGTATAAGAGTATGCCGTAGTGCTGCTGTCCGGGCAAAATTTCCCTCATAGCACACAGTATGGCGTATGCCCGTCTTCATTAGCCCAGTTCGGAGCAGAACAGTAGGACGTTAAACTTCATTTCATTTCTTTTAACAGTTTATATTTGAAGAATAGATGACAAAATATTTTGTCTTCTCAAGAAAAATTACACTAAATTGGTAAACTTGAACTATTAATAGCCCAATATATCAATGGTAGATGATCTCCTGACATAGAGTCAGCTGGATTAAGAAGCCCAGCCAATCAAAAGAGTTTACTCAACACTTATAGATTGTACTGGCTTGTTTAGTTCAGTTTATCGTATCTTTGTAATAAAGAACAAAATTGAATCTGTTTGAACTGATATTCTTGTTAGAGATTTATCTTTACAATTGTAGTATGCAAGGGGATTCAAAATCCCTCAAATGTTAATCAGCGACTCTAAAGGAGCTAAATCACTAATATTTGGGACCTAGAAATTGACACAAATGGGTCGCAACGCATATAATAATGTAATGTGAATGTATATAAACTGATTTACATTCAACCGTTTCTGTTTTTACTGTAATTTCTAATCAGTTATGTTCGGCGAAATGCGCCAGAAGTCTCAATTGAATGGCAATCTTTAGCGTCTGGTTATTCCAGTCTACACCAGTGATATTTATTGCACATGCTCTCCAGATAAGAATATAGCGTCACCATTTGACATGACTTGTGGAATATGTCTAGCTGCGTTTTTTGATTCCCTTGTTCCAAATGGCGCTGAAACGCATTATGGTACACTAGTTGTGTACCAATGGTTAAATGTTTATTTTGTCTTGAATATTGGATATCAGAAACCCATCTTTTCCCTGTAAGATCATATATTAAGACCAATGTTGATTTGAATTGACAAATAATTCGTGTTTTCAATGTCTAAGATTTTTGATGATATTGAGTTAGAGACTTAGCTACTTTAATAACTAGATAAATATTGATATTTTTCCAGGCAGTTATTGATACCAATAAAATACTGAATTTCCTTAGTACAATGAGACAATGGTTTGATAGATTACATGAGTCAACACAACCAGCAGATATGTTGATATTATTTAAACCTCTGATGACATCTTTACTGTTAGTCTGGACACATTCCACGTAAGTTTTACAAATTCCATTTTAAACAAGTATGAGAGCACTATATGAATCAGTAATGTCATCGCAAAAATCAGTCTGTTATTCCTTATTCAATTGTCCAAAGAACAAGCATGCCAAGTTTCATGTTGATCGTACTGGAATTAGCCGAGTCTTGGCCTCTTTTTGAAGAGTTGTACCCCAAAAAGAAGAAGACTACCAAATGTATGCAACTATTCCTTGTTTGAAATAACATTCTATAATATATAGTCCAAAGTTGCTTGTGAACACTCTTAAGGCTAATGTTAGTGCTGTGGGTGTATATTTCTTTGTCTGACAGCTTATCTTTTATTTTACAACTATACCTTATGTGATATATATTTTCAGATATTATCATCAAATTGACAAATTTCATAATTTATTACGCTTGTTATCTAATGAAGTTGTACATAGAGCTATTGCTATGGTTGGTGCTGATATATTACGAGAACCATTAGAGGTAAGCTCCTAAATTAATGTGCTTTTATCTAATTCTCAGGCAATTCTTTAAAAAATCTAATGCCAGAGGGATCGGTTGTTTTGATTTGTTAAAGGATTATGTGGCTCTAAGTGATTTATTACAAACATCACATTTCAAGTTCCTACATTTGTTTCATCATCAGAATTTGTACTTTAGGAATTCACTTACACAATTACCAATTTGTGAGTTACATAGCCATGATTTACATATGTGATGTTTGTGAGAAGTCATTTAGCACAGTGATCCTTTTGACAAAATTATAAAGACAGACACATACTTCCCTCCTGCATTAGATTGTTTGAGAACCCCTATTTTTTTGCCCATAATTTAATTTTAACAGCTCTTCCATATATTGGATTTGGAAGAATAGAAGAAATATATTTTGATAAATATTTATGTATGAATGTTATTTTGGGGGACATACGTGGACAGCATCACATTTTTTGTCACCTAAGCGCAGGCCCTGCCTTCAAGAAATCTGTTTCCTTCTTTTTATTTCAGTCTTATACCAAATTAAAGGATGCTTTAAAAGTTTGTGCAGCTTTCCGTGGAACATATTTAGATTTTAAAGATAAGGCAGATGATCAAAATGCTCAAAATATTGCGGAAAATGCTGAGAGACTGTAAGTTAATTGGATGAATTAGAATTCAAATACTTAACTGCTCACCCACTAAATATTTGCAGTATCAAATAAATGCACTTTATGGCTAAATAGATATATTAAAAAGATTTTTTTAACATTTGGTATAAAACATATCAGTGGCCTTGAAGGTATTTTCTGGAATCGTCACTTTCTCCGACCAACCTCCTTTTTTTAAAACAAAAAGAAATGTATACATATATGCTTGCTCCCTCTAACTTTTGAAAACATGGCTATGCTCCTGGATCAATATATTTGCTTTTAATTTTTCAGTGCTGCACGGCCTCAAGGTAGTTTATTTATGACTAAAATGTATGGACCTCATGCCTACACACCCCGTTATGGTATAAGGAAATCGGATGGTGATTCGTCTAGTCAAACATTGGAAGAAGATGAACTGTGGACTGATAGTCCATGGCCTCCACGAAATGCACCTAGTTTTGATCTGCTAAACAGCTTTATGGAAAGGTATCTTTTTGTGCACTTTCTTTATTAAAACTTTTTTCAGGAACCATATTTTACTCTTTCTGTTTTAATTCGTAACCATGGTGACTGTGTGAGTAAGGTGCTGACTCACTAACTATACTATTCAAAAAAAGTAGGGGATATTTGATTTTTAAGTGTTATTAAAGTCACCTAATGAAACTGACGAAGAAACAAATGACAAAATGAAATGAAGTTCACATTCATCGATTTATTCCAAATGATCGTTAGACTAAGTAAGGCACAGACTGACCATTATAAGGGTAAAATGATACCCGGGGTCAAACAGCAAAGTTACCACAGCATCACAACCAAGTCAGTAACGGGTAAATCCTCCTCTGTTTGCCAAACAAGCATTGATCCGACGTGGCATACTCCTAATGAGACGTCTAAGGTCATTTTGGTCCAGATTGTCCCATTCCTGTTGCAACGCAGCAGCAAGTTCTTGGACAATGGCAGGACGTTTTTGACGTTGACGTAACCTCTGTCCAAGCATGTCCCAGACATGCTCGATGGGGGAGAGGTCGGGACTCAGTGCTGGCCAAGGTAATGTGGTGATGTTCTGTTGTTGGAGGTAACCTGTAACGATCCTGGCCCTGTGACGTCTTGCGTTGTCATCCTGGAAGATGAAACGGCGGCCATGACGTCGTGCGAACGGCACAACATGGACTGCCAAGATGTTGTCCCGGTAGTACTGGCCTGTAACACGCCCTGCAACAACATGTAAAGGCGTTCTTCCAGCAACAGTGATGCCTCCCCATACCATAACAGAACCACCCCCAAATCGATCATGTCTGATGACGTTAACGTCTTGGAAGCGCTCGTTTCGACGACGCCACACCCTCCTACGTCTGTCCAAAAAATCAACAGTGAACCTGGACTCATCTGAAAACATCACATTGCTCCAGCGTCGATTATCCCAGTGTTGACGATCCTTACACCAACGACGTCTTGCCTGAATGTGATGATCTCTCAAACAAGGGATCACGCGAGGACGTCGGGCGCGAAGGTGACCCCTATGCAGTCGATTCCGAATCGTCTGGCCACTCACTCTCACACCAGTGTCTGTTTGAAGACGAGCGCTGATCTGATTTGCTGTGATGACACGATTTCTCAAGGCCAAGGTACGGATAAATCGATCCTGGGCTTGAGTTGTCGCCCTTGGTCGACCTGAGCGTGGTCTGTCCTGTACAGATTGTGTATCACGGTATCTGGACCATAGCCTGCTTATGACAGACTGAGAAACATTCATCGTCCGCGCCACAACCGCCTGTGTTGTGCCGATCTGTAGCATGCCAAGGGCACGTAACCTTTCATTTTGGGTAAGCCGATGCATATCAAAATTTGTTTTCTGGTCACTAAAACAATTAAGCTGATGTTTCCACCCTGGAATTCAATGCCACAATGACTGTAACATTCAAAGTCAGAGTCGTGCAAATCTTGGGTTGGACCCCCATGATGATCCCAAGCATCACCTGCATTCCATGCGGTAGCTATTGGTGCGTTTGGGCGTCACATGTAACTGGAAATGTTTCTTCTGTTAGGTTCTATAGTGACTTTTTTCGTAGTCATTTGCATATTTTAGTATTATGCCCCCAAAATCAAATATCCTCTACTTTTTTTGAATAGTATATATAGAAGGGACTGGGTTTGATCATGGTATTGCCCCTGAAAGTTGTTTTGGTTCCCATTTTCAGCAGTGCAGGACACCCATGAACACAGCATCTACAGTACGCAAAATTTCTTGACACACCATGTTTTTTTATTATACGCCCACATTTTCATTTGGACGTATATTGTCGTAGAACCTGCACATTTAACAGTTTACAATATTTATCCAATTTTAACGAAACTTGAAATATAGGTTTATATCCCAAAGATCTCGATTCCTTTCGATATTGGCTTGTTCAGACCGCAACTTCATGGATTATGGCTCCTGATGGTACGAAAAAATTGTGTCATTAGCTTGTGGACTCTCAATTTTGAAGTCACAATTTTTATTCGATTTTGATGAAACTTAAAAAACGTAAGGTTATATCCCAAAGATTTCAGTTCCTTTTGATATTGATGTATGTCAGAACGTAACATTGTGGTTTATGGCCCCTTATTGTACATGCTTTTTTAGCTTGTTCTCTGTCCACATCTTGCAAAATGTGGGCGTATCTTGCATGGCAACCACTTGTTTGTTTTTTAATGGATTTTTTTTTCTCCGTTTTATAGATGTAATGATGTATTAGAATTGGTAGAAACAACACGTCATTTCCGTCTGCTAGCAGATGCAGCAGAAGTAGGTGGTGCTGGTAGTATGAGTCTGGATGCCATGGTAAAAGAAATACATCAGAAATATACACTAGCAATGAACGAATTCTTCTCTGTAGTAGATAATGTTCTCAGTATTGATGGATCCCAATCTTTCGAACGATGTTTCTTCAAATTTCGAACAGTTGTCAAGGTAAATAATTTGTATTTTAGTGCAAATCATTCTGTTAGTTGTTTATTTGTGTTTCCTTTGGTTGGGATGTAAAACAGTCTCAATATTCGATTGTGTTATTTTATTCCAGGGATTAGAGAAGCGACTAGCAGGAATATTACGACAAGCGTTTAGTCAATGTCCTACTGTAGAAGCACAGTTACGTCTGCTAGAAGTATTTGAAGGTGTCAGTAGTAGAGAATTAGTTCAGGTAATTAAGTAACCTCTCCCCATCTTTTAATTACATAAATTCTAATTATTAGAATGAATATAGATATAATATATTCAATAATTTTGACAAGTGTTTCTTATTTTTGTTTTGACTCATGGTCTTTATTATTGTTTTGAAACAATGCTCGTTATTATAGTTATGACGCATTGATCTTTATTATAGTTTTGATGCAATGATCTTTACTATAGTTTTGATGCAATGATCTTTACTATAGTTTTGACGCAATGATCTTTATTATTGTTTTGATGCAACAATCTTTATTATTGTTTTGATGCAACGATCTTTATTATTGTTTTGATACTTTCAGGCTCATCTAAAGGATAAAGATGCTAAATTAGTTGAGGCTTTTACAGCTGAATTAATACAGGTTAAAGATATGTTTGCAGATAATTCTCTTAATCCACCATTACATTATAATATGCCACCTATAGTTAGTAGATTGATGTGGGTACATGCTCTTAGAGAACGCATTAGGGTGAGTTGAATTTTATTTTATTTTATTTTATTTTATTTTATTTTATTTTATTTTATTTTATTTTATTTTATTTTATTTTATTTTATTATTTTATTTTATTTTATTTTATTTTATTTTATTTTATTTTATTTTGAAATTCTTCCCAGCTTGTACATGAGAAGGATTAGGGACGCCTGCCTAACCTCGTAGGTTTTCTCTGAGTCCTCCAGTTTCCTCCCAATTAGTGGCATTTTTTGGGGGTCAAAATTACCTGGTTTGTGTCGAGTGGAAGTTAAACACCATTTCTCTGTCTTTATAATTCTTCCAAATTTGAAATCCAAATTTGAGAAATACATTTCAAAGTTTTGATTAAAAACCTTGTTAATAAACACAATGTTTATATTTATATTGTTTACAGATTCCGATGGAGAAACTACGACAGGTGAGTCCACACTCACTAGATGGTGATACAGGCTGGCAGATGAGGGATACATATAATGGTTGTCAATCAGAATTAGAGAGGTATAGAATGATATAGTATTACTATTCTTGTCCTGATTTTTCTAAGGACACTGGCCCCTAAACTGGATGGGGGTTGGGTTACCGAATGGTTAAAACGTGCGCATTGCATCATAAGGTCCGTCTTTGAGTCAAGCGGTGTTGTTTTGATTCCTTGCTTGTATATGACAAGGTTTTCTCTGGATCCTCCAGTTTCCTCCCACTGCTAAAGACCCCTTCACGAATTATTGTTATAAAATTGAACCAAAGGTTAGTCCCAAAACTCTCTCTCTCTCTCTCTCCCTCTCTCTCTCTCTCTCTCTCTCTCTCTCTCCCTGAACTAGGACGTCCCAGGCTTAAATCTTGGATTGGGCCAAGAAGAACCGTAAGTGGAAACAGCACTGCCCGGGCAAAATTCACCTCCCTTGTGACCGAAGAAAAAATAACCAAAGACCTGTACAACTGACAAATAAATCATGTTTAGTTGGTTGGATGACACAAAAACTGTGAATCAATTGGTAATTGGAATTCAATTGGAATAATTCTCACTTGTATTACACACATAGAAGAAAATTTCCATATGATTAATTGTATCAATAGAAGTTATTAGTGGATTGACCACTTTATAGTTAATATTTGGTAGAGCAGGTTTTTTGTCAGGAAACAGTTACCAGTAATACCAGCTCAACCTAGAATGACTATGAATTGCTGAGGTGATAGTAAAATAAAAAGTATTTTTATCAACCTTAGTTTTTTTATTTATGTTTTTTATTATTTTTAGATACGAGAATAAATTGATCAGTGACTGGCAGAATAATATAACTGCAGAATTAACGTTACGTCTGAAACAACCGCTACTGGTAAAATTTGATTCTGTTTATAGATCTGATAAAAGCCTTCATACAATACCCTCAACAATCTCTAATTGTGGTCAACTTGCATTTTTTATCCGCTGCTCCCATCATATGGAACTCTTTACCACAAGGGGTCACTGTGGCTAAGTGGGTAAGATGCTGGCTTGCTAGCCTGGAGGTCGGGTGTTTGATCCCTGCATTGGCTGAGAAAGTTCATCCAGATTTTCCGGCGTAGTTCCCCCTTGTCAGTGATGCAAGACGGAGAGTCTGACAAGGACAGCTGTCTAGTCGTTCGGATGGGATGAAAAACTGAGGTCCTGTGTACACTTTGGTGTGCACTTAAAAGATCCCTTGACAGTTGGAATTCGATGTAAGAGTAAGCTGTAGGGCCGCTGTTTGGGCAAAATTTCCCTCATAGCACGCTGTACGATGTATACTGGTCTTCATTAGCCTAGTTCGGAGCAGAACACTAGGACGTTAAACACCATTTCATTTCTTTACCACAAAATGTAAAACCAGTAAATATTCTGGCCTTTAAATAGAATTTTGTGAATGACTTTTCTGCGACATGGTAATTTGCACTTTTTAGCACTATAATAAGACATTGTTATATTGCCACCATATGGAAATCTATTTTATAAATGAATAAACTGATTATTTATTGGCTGATTTAATTTGATGACTTGTTGAATCATCTAGAAGTATTATCTGTGATTATACCTATCAATATCTTTATTACAGACAGCTGAAGATTATGATGAAGATATTGACCTTCGACCTCAAGTTGTCCATGTCAACCTTGACCCTCAGTTGTTGCTGTTGCTGAGAGAGATACGCTACCTTGGTCGTAAACCCTTTAATATCAAACTACCAGAAGGGGCCAAAGAATTGATACGAAATACAGACTCATTTGAACTATCGGTGACAGCGACACGATTAGAGACAATCGTATCTAAATATAATACTATCATGAAGACTATAACCTCGTTTGAAAGACCAATGTTTGAACGCAAGTTGGCCAAAATAGATCATGTGAGTTCAGAAAATGTCTTTTATGCCAGCCTGTAATATATTCACTTTATAATTGACAGAATAGAACAGTTCTGACATAACATTGCCAAAATTTAACATCCTTCTGACTCCAGACATAAGTGGAGATATACTTTATCCCATGCCGAAAGAAATCAAGGCATATTGAAATAGGCTCGTCTTTCTGTTTTGGTTTTGTTTCCACAACATATCTTAAGATATCTTTATGAATTAATTGTACACACAACAATCTGAGTATTATAGTAATTGTGCCTTTTGCTCATTAGAAATTTCGTGGATTTAATCATTTTTGTTTTTCTATGAAGATTTGACTTAGTTTTGGGTTTACAAGGTCACAGGATGTTGAAGGCTGAGTCCGCATGTTTTGTTCTTGAAAATGTGCAGACTATTGCTAAAATTGGGGTATAGCTGGTTACTGAATGGTCAAATCTCCCCGGTATCTGACTACTAGTAATTAAGCCCCTCATTAAATAGATAATGTCCTAATTGTATTAACATTATTAAATGTAATACTCTCACCTGATCATGTTTTATATACTCCAGATTGTCTTGTGTTGACATTATTAAATCTATAACTGTTTTTATGTTATATATTGTAGTTATTTGAACAAGGTTTACAAGATTATACATGGAAGATGAAAGAATCGACTGATTTTATAGAAACAGCCATGTCGTTAGTTTGTTTGGATGTCCATCAAAACCTCGATATTGTACAAACTAACTGTCATGACATCGTAGAAATTACAATATCCTGGGCTAAAAATACACTGGATGTTTTCCGTGCTCGAGATCCACAGATGTCATATCCTATGGAAGAGTTGTTAGAGATGCAGAGGTAAGTAGTAATTATCATTTCATATGGTTCTTCTATTTGTTATGAATGGTATATTTTTGATTTTATTATGTCTGTTTTCATTTATTGTGTAGTTTTAATAAATTAATTTTCCCACCTGTGCCATTTTTAGTGTGTGTTTATACATCATTGATTTTCAATGTGAAAATGATTGTAAAGGTGGGATGGGGAATTGTGCCTGAAGAAGGTGATTCTGTAACTGGTTAAGACTTTAAGCCCACATTAGAATTTTGCCCAGGATTTTTTATCATTTGTAAATTGGTTTTTAGCTTGAGAGCAACTTTTTAAATCTTTTTGAAATGTTGTGGTGTAATAAACATAATAATTGTATCCATATACTATTCTAATATTATTTATATTTAAGGCATGCATGCACACTGATGTATGGGAAGTAACTCTGATGATATAATTAAACTGAGTTTTATATTTTTAGTCAATTAGCCGATGAATTAGAGAATGTTGTTTTACCATCTGGTAATAGAATACATCAATTAGTCAGTAAATCATTTGAGGTATTTATTAACATTTAGTATAAATACACTTTTATATATTATCATTTAATATTTAGAAATACATTTCTAAACAGTGCCAAATGTAATAAATCAAATGATACAATGCATCAACTAAATTTTGTTAGTTGTGTGCATGTTGCTGTATATTTTTTATTACATAGAATATTGTTATTTATCAGCCTGGTTCTCATTTGTTTAGTTAGCTGTCACAATTTTAATTTCTAAAGATCTGAAAAAGCACCGAAAACAATGAAAACCTGGATCATTTAAATTGAATATTCAAATAGCATTTGAATAATGACTTAGAACCGGGGTGTCAAACATGTGGCTTGTGGGCCAGATCTGGCTGGCCAAGGGTTTAAATGTGGCCCGTGAAACAAATTTTACTAAACTGATGTGTCGATTATTCTTAGAAGCTAGCCATGGAAATCATTTATTATTGTTATCTAATGTCAGTACTGTATGACACAGATATCTAAGTTGTATCTGATACAAGAGAAGGTTGTGTTCAATATTATATCTTGGCAATTTGGAAACCAATCTAGAAAATTCCCTATCTCAAGGACGTTTGACTATCTTTTCTGAATTCAGTAAATTTCAAGGATGTTTGGCTTTGTTTTTAGAATTTTTGTATCTCCGGCCCACTTGATGTCAATTTTTATCTCATGTGGCCCCTGAATCGAAATGAGTATTCAATGTGACCACTTATATTATCTGGAGTTTTAGATAATATATTTCTTTTTGCTCTTGCAGGCTGTTCAGATTAGTGAAGCATCCCCTGCCTGGCAGGACTACATAGATTATATAGATGCTATTGTACTGGATGGTCTAAAACAAGCCACATTAACCAGTCTTATGTCTATGTTGAATACACTGGTTCAAGCTAACATGGCAGAAACGGAAGTAAGTATCATTTAGTTTATTTTTATCTTGAATTAAACAGGTATTATGTAAGAGCTAAATCTGTCTATTGCAGGTCTTCTTATGGGCCTTAAATGTTATATAAATTATTAATTAGACATTTATTAACTTGACAAGACATCAACTCTTGATGCCATCGGTTGACTCGGATTTTAAGTAGATTAGAACAGTTCGGTCATTTAATGATTTAAAGGCTAAGACTTGAATAACTAGTACGGTGGTTATACAATCAATGCACACATCTTGTCACAACTACAACCATTGATAACTTCGCTCAAAATAATGTAATTTTAATGAAATTTTCAATATATTTATTTTTCTTTATCTATTTTTGAAATATTAACAGCAAGCTCTTTATCTAAATCTTTCATAATAACCCTTTAAATTTAAATCACCTGAATATGCAAGGATTTCTGCTTTTAAAGGTGCAGTTTTTGAATAATCAAATATACAGATTATAAAGATATCATTTCATCAATTAGGCTACATGTGGATTACATGCCAACGAATTATTGAATTTTAACATTCAGAATCTGATAATAAGCCCCCGCTTATGTTTTATGGACCGATTCATGGATATTTTTGAGAGTTTATATCACTTGTTGCTTATACTCACTCTGTGTTTTCTGTTTACTGTCAATGATTTGTTTTTATTTATTTTACAGATACCTGAGACTGTTATACCTATCCTAACAATCCGACTAGAATTGATAGATAACAACGTATCATTCTGTCCACCATTAGATCAAAATACATCAGTTGTTAGTGTACAGGAACTTGTACACAAATGGTTGGACAGTTACCTGGCTCGTGGTGTACTTGTTAAAATGCTGGGCAATAAGGTGATATACTTTTATATTTATAATTATTGCTTGTTGTGGACAGACGGACAAGAAACTTTTATAACTATAGTACAAGTTGTCTCCCATTAATACTTGATGATTGTGTGCTAAGTAAAAGCTTGGTGGATATTCGGTTGCACTGATTTTCATACTGTGGTCGAACTGCTCACATCTGTATGGTTTTTAGTTTGGACAAGCTGAACTGTACAAGTTGAACTGTACAAGCTGAACTGTACAAGCTGAACTGGAGAAGATGAGAGAGAGAGTGTTTAACATCCACTCAACACAAACTAGGTCATTTCGGGACTAACATGGTTCAATTTTAATTCAGTAATTCGTTTGCTGGACAGGCGACTCTGCTCCTTGTCACGTTCAACCGGTGAATTGAAACCACGGCAGTTGACTCAATGACAGACCTTATGATACAGCGCGCACATGCTAACCAGCCAAGCCCCCCATTGCACAAATTAGTAAGCTATATAACAGACGTAGTACTGACAATAGGTACCGCCATGTTGAATAAACAATCAATCATCCTTATCATCTCAAGATGAATTTATTTTAAATTAATGATGACTTGTATTTTCAGGGAACATATCAGGATTATATTGAAGCTGATGATGAAGTTCGACAGTTACTGTCTAATATACACCAGGTTGTAGATGATAATAGCCTGGAATGTAAGGTATGTCTACCTAGAGGAGTGACAAAATGCTCCCACCTATCTTCCATATAGTGTAGGGGGAAGAGTGGGTGCTGAGAAGTCTAACAGAGGTTGTGGATATAACTTAATGTCTGTTACCTATTTGCAGTCATGTGATTGATCCCATAATGTGACAAGGAGAAGGGTTAATGTCTGTCTAACATTGTGGGTTTCTCTAGGTACTCTATACTGTGAATAAGGAAATGCAGCACACCCAAATATTCTAATTCTTCAGTGTGAATAAGGAAAGATGAATATAGCACACCCAAATATTATAATTCTTTAGTGTGAATAAGGAAAGATGAATTATTATAACATGTGGCACATGAAACAAAATGAAATGAAATTTGGTTTAACGTCCTACTTTTCTGCACCAACTGGGCTAAAGAAGACATTTCTCATGTGGTACACCAAAATATTATAATTTAATGCTGTGAATAAAGAAAGATAACAATTGAGTTGACCAACCTCCAATACATAATTATTTGTTTGTTACAGAAATTATTAGAGGTATTTAAAGATTACTCGTTCCTATGGTTACGAGATGTCAATGAAACATTTGAAGAGTTTTTACAAGGTATTATATCCCCCAACCCACTACGAACACCCAATAGAAGTGTCGCTGCTGAGATGAGAAATTACGCTGCTGAAAAATCTACTATATCAAGGTTTGAAAATAGTTTCATAAATATTTTTTAAAATAATATATATATATATTAGTGGTTAGAGACAGAGTCTGTCTAAAACATTGTAACACATTTTAACATTTAATATGTGGTAGTAAGAAGGAATTTTTATAAATACTTGTACATAAATTAAACCTTGACAGTTATAATCCAATAAAGAGCAATCGGAAACGGCTCTGTTCAGGCAAAAGTCTCCTTCCAAGTATTGCATGTGTGACCATAGACATGAAAATAACCATGTGTTAGTCTCAATATGACTGATGTATTGTGTTGACAAGATGTTAATTAAACTCAATTCCATTCAATTTGAAGGGTTCACTTTATATTTACTCAGTTTTATCTCATTCATCCATTGTGTACACGTGACAAGGAGTAGGGTCGCCTGTCGAACCTCGTGGGTTTTCTCCGGGTCCTCCGGTTTCCTCCCACTGCTAAAGACCCCTACGCGCAAGCGAATTATTGAAATAAAATTAAACCATATGTTAGTCCCGAAATGACCTAGTTTGTGTCGAGTGGACGTTAAACCCCATTTCTCTCTCTCTCTCCATTGTGTACAGGTCACATCTGATTGATACAATAGAATTTATTTACTTAAATAGAGAAATCAAGTAAACTAAGGGGATATTTGATTGAACATTCTGGAATCTGATTCTATCAAATCCTCCAAAGGTGTCAATTGATCAATCACTACAGCTGAAATGTTTGATAACGTCACAATTCTGTTCACACTACCCGTTTTCAGGACTGGCTGAACTGTGACAGGACTCAATTTCATCTCACTCTATTCAGAACATTGTGGACTGACAGTAAAGCACTTGCTATTTCTCTGTATATTGGTTGTAATATCTGTTAAATATATTCCATCTTCTTCATTTCTTATCAGGGCCTCTTCACAGAATTCAATTGGATCAGCTGGTTTAATGGGAACAGCTGAAAGAAGTTTTCTAACTCCTAAAGGTGTCCAAGATGGTGAAAATGAACATATACCATCATTAGATGAATTTGATGCTGAAATTGATATTTACAAGGTAAACATGTAAAATGTTATTACACTGGACTAGATCTTTTATATTTTCCTACTACAGCAGGTAATTAAATCTCTTATGGAATAGTATTGTCTGTCTACATTTCCTTATGGTGATATGTTTTGCATGAACACTATATACGGTAAAACAATTTCTGAAAGTCGACATATTAAGGAATGCAAATATTCCTATGAAGTAATAGTGTTGAATGAATCAACATTAGACAACAATCCTCACACTAACAACCCTCCTGACTATTTACACTAACAACGATACTGAACATTTACACTAACAACCGTACTGAATATTTGCACTAACAACCGTACTGACTATTTACACTAACAACTGAACTGACTATTTACACTAACAACCCTCCTGACTATTTACACTAACAACCTTACTGAATATTTACTCTAATCAACATCACTACTTCTTACACTCGCCCACAGACCAATGTTAGTGAATCAAATTGACTGAAATCTTATTCTTGCTATTTTTTAACCTTTTTCATAAAAGTTCTGTTTTGTTATTCTTACAGACAGCTCGTGATGAGATTCAAGATTTACAAGATTATCATAATGAAGGTTGGATTCGGGTTGATTTACAACCAATCAAACAAGTTCTAACAACCTACGCCAGTAAATGGATGTGGACATTCACCAAATATTTATCCAATCAAGTAAGACTTTACAACAGATATATATATGTAAATTTTAAAACCTGAATGTGAAATTCTATTGTCTATGTATATTTCTACCCCCTACTTGCACTCTAACTCCTAAAAGGGCTATTAACCATAACACATCTGAGGTTAGAGGTACACTAGATGCTACTGTGAAATTGTATGGTTTGTTTTTTCAAATAAAGATGTTCTTTTTTAGGTGAGCGACATGTTAGAAAAGTTGGATCTATTTTTAAAGAGAATTGAACCAGAGATTGAAAGTATCACTGGTGACGAGAGAGATACAGCAAGCTTTATGAAAATGATGAGACTCTTTAACGAGGTAAGTCATATCGAGTTGTATAGTTCTTGTTTTAGAGTTTTTGGAGGGGATGTGGGGGCTGTAATAAACTAAGACCAATATCCTTCATCTGGACATGCGTCAATTAATTTTGAACAAAACAGGAGATACAGGGTTTTACCATGAAACTATTTATAACAATAGCATATTTCAAAATTTACAAAAATGATAATTGCAGTTCAGAGTTGATTATTATTTTTAATGTCAGATACTCACAAAATTACCTGTCAGAAAAAAGCAGTGGACTATTGCAATTAATAGATGTTCATTAGGTGAATGATTTTAGGCAAAGCAGGGATAAACTGTTTGTTTCATTAAATCAATACCTTGACTAAGTTTGATAATGAGCATAGATATGAGCAATTTGGTAGCTTGATACATTATAAAAAGATAAATGTGGAGGTAATTAATGAGTGTCATTTATTTATGTTGAGATTAAGGCCGGGGAACATCAACCTAACTGTTGGCGTGTATCACATAGTGTTGATATTAAAATATACGCATGTCATTTACTGGTGTACTAAATGTATAGAGTGGTCTGAATAAATCTGAGAATACTTTTGAGAAAAGTATAAATATATTGAAGAATAAATTTCATTGTTTTTTTGATTTTTTGTGTTTTGTATTGTAGGTGTCGGCAGAACAGAATGAAATGGATGGAAAGTTTACAGCAATGCATAGAACAATGATCTTGTTAAAAAAATACGGCCAAACATTAAATGACAAAACACAGTTCTTATTTACTGCAGCACCTGGTCGCTGGAACTCTCTTAAAACTAAAGTTTCTCTAGCAAAACAAAGATTAGGTCCAAGAATACAAGAAGAATCAGCTAGAATCACACAGGTAAGAATATATATTAACCCCACCCCCGGAACTACTATTCATTTGGTTTAAGGGAGAAGTAGTTTAAGGTTTTTCAGGTAGTTTTCAAGAAAGAACCATCTCTAGAAAAAAGATAACTGTTCTCGAACAGTAGTCAACATCTACAAACAGATGATTCATTAATTATGTCGAATATTTGATTTTTGTTACTTTCAAATTTACAGATAAAGTTTACCTTTAATGAGATTCTTTTAAATTCTTAACTGAATTATGGCCCTTTGTTAACTTAAAATCAATGAAAATTTTGTTTTCCCAAATTGTTTCAGGTTAAACTTGGAGGTATTTGATTGAAATTTAGTGTCTGTTTTACAAATTGAAGAGTTACAAACCAGTTCACTGAAAATTCAGTTTACAGAATTTATTCATTCTATTTGGATTACCAGTAGACATTCATAGAAATGTATTCACATTATTAACATTGTAAAATTTGTAGGGACCGGTAGGAGACATGTATTGCTTCAACTTTGCTCTCAGAATATTGGTTTTTTTATATGTTCTAAATATGAGTTATTTTTATTAATCTTCAGGATCTAGAAGCGTTTGCCAACAGAGTGTATTATTTTAATAAAGATATGGAGAATTCTGACGTATACAGTAGAGAATGTAATATACCTGATGCCTGGATTAGTATCGATACTTTTAGTAAAAAACTACACATATTGGAAAACGAAGCTCAGGTACGGTAATATTTAAAGAAGTTATTAATAGAGACGTTAGTCTTTATAACTTTGTTCTGTAATAAATCTCAGATTTGCAATTGAAGTAAAAACAAGATATGGGGTAATAAATTCATCAGTTTTTAAATTTAGGAGGTGAAGTATATACGGTACCTACTATAGTCACAAGATTAGGCTATATCCAGACCTAAAAGGTCCTATGGGCTTTTTCATGCCCAATTACCAGGGGAAATGACTGCGTGCTGACCCCAAAAGTGTGCCTGGTCATTTGGATGAAACACAATTCTTAATACTCACAAAGTCTCAGAATTGCCTAAGAGTGTTCATCAGATATTTAGCACTCTTCTACTGTATTCTCTCCCATCCTTATATAGATATCCTATCTAGTGTTGATTAGCACTGTTCTACTCTATTCTCTCCCATCCTTATATAGATATCCTATCTAGTGTTGATTAGCACTGTTCTACTCTATTCTCTCCCATCCTTATATAGATATCCTATCTAGTGTAGATTAGCACTGTTCTACTCTATTCTCTCCCATCCTTATATAGATATCCTATCTAGTGTTGATTAGCACTGTTCTACTCTATTCTCTCCCATCCTTATATAGATATCCTATCTAGTGTAGATTAGCACTGTTCTACTCTATTCTCTCCCATCCTTATATAGATATCCTATCTAGTGTTGATTAGCACTGTTCTACTCTATTCTCTCTCATCCCTATATAGATATCCTATCTAGTGTTGATTAGCACTGTTCTACTCTTTTCTCTCTCATCCCTATATAGATATCATATCTAATGTTGATTAGCCCTGTTCTACTCTAGTCTTTTCCATTACTATAGAGATATCCCATCTAATGTTGATTAGCCCTGTTCTACTCTATTCTCTCCCATCCCTATATAGATATCCTATCTAGTGTAGATGAGCCTTGTTCTACTCTATTCTCTCCCATTACTATATAGATAATCCTATATTATAATTATTTATTATTGAATATCTGTGTTTCAGGATTTAATAGAACTACAGGAATTATTAGAAAGTTCTGTAGTGAATTTCTCTGTACTACCTCAGTAAGTTTTAATTTATTTACATCAATATTAATTTTGAGATCTTTTGAATTATTAATAAATAAATAGCTTCTTGAGACCCGAGAACAAACACATATTTTGGAAGAAATAATAAGCAAAATTTAAGTAAGTGTTTCCAAAGAACAAAAGTTCTAATTGGAGAAGCCTAATGTTATTATTTTCTCAAAATTTGAAAAGCATTATCTATCTAATTTTGAATTAAAGGAGCTAAACCTCTAACTCAGTAATGTCCATAATATTCGAAATTAAAAGTACAAATTAGAATTATAAATTTTGTCATTTCAGTCAATATTGATGTTATTATCTTGTGAAAATATGGTATCCTAATATCCAATATTTAAGACACAATGCACATTTTAAATTAGTATGCGATTTGTAATGAAAAAGAAAAACATATCCTACAAAACAATGCGGAAGTAATTAGTAATGACTGATTCACTTAATGACAAAATAACATGTAGAATAGACTAAACAGACGTAAAAGACTGCCATTCAGTTTGATCAGAAATAACAATATCTTTTTTGAAGACTGAATATAAATCACTTAATATATTCTTTCAGATAACATTAATATATGCTGTTAGACCCATTTTCATCTATTTATAGGTTCCAAAGAGTATAGCCATATGCCCTTTGAAGCAACACATTATGGAGACCTAGCTCCTTGAATTGTTCAATAATCATGTATAAAAATACAAAAATCCACCCTTTTAAAATTTATCATTGTTCTCTTTCCTCCATGTTTTCTCAAACAATATTAGAATTATCATTCAATGAATTTTATTTTTTAAAAGATGTCGTATTGAGTTGACTAATCTAAAACAACTGTGGGAGAAAGTTCGAGTTATTGAAGAACAGCAGACAGAGTGGAAACGTCACAGATGGCAGAAGATGAACACCAAGTTTTTACGTGACGAGACAAATAAACAACTCGCTATTGTTCGTGGTTTATCGGAAGATGTATTTACGTGGGATGTTTATATGGGTCTACATGAATCTATTACAACTATTCAGGTATGTATTTTATAGTAAGTGCAGGAGGACTGCACTACACACAAAAGAAAACTGACAAGACAAACTACAAGTACATAGACGTTGCAAGAAATAAACAACAACTATCAGATCAAGTAAATGGATCTAGTGGTCGGCCATAGCATCCACAGCACTGTACAGTTCTGAACCGGTTGAGCTACAGTGGCTTGGTGAGAATGGTGCTGGCTCTCCATTGAGGAGGTCCCTGGTTCAATCACAATGTTGACCGAGAAAGTTCCTTGGGATTTTCCAGCCTGGTTTCCCAGTGGTGCAGGAGGGGGGCCTGGCAAGGAGAAATGTCTAGTCATTCGGACGGTACAAAATAATGGTAGCATTTTAAAGATATCCCGACAGAAATTAAAATAAAAGTAAGTCGTAGGCTCACAATCTGGGCATGGTGTCTGCATTGTTTAAATATTATGCAACAATTATAAGTAAATAGCTATTTGTTCCTTCATCTGAAACCCAACAGCAATTACACTATTTCATATCAATTTTTCGTCCCATTCAGACGTCTTATGATGATCCTTGCCATGCCTCTGTCCTACACAACATAATATGTCCTAACATAACCCCTATAACATCTTGTACTGATTCAAACTTTGCAAACTTTACATGGTAAAGAAGAAATGTACAATATACAAGATATCTTTCTTTGGACCTTTCAAGGTATAATTTGAAAATAAAATGAAATGGGGTTCAACGTCCTACTGTTCTGCTTCGACTTGGCTAATGAAGATGGGGGTATAATTTGAAGAGTGGCATAATGTTTATAACGTTTTCAAAAAAGCATCTATTATTCATCTACTGTTTCTTAAAAAAAACTATGTTGGTCGTGAAAGTTCATTGGGATTTTCCGGCATGGTTCCCCCTTCTCAGTGGTGCAGGACAGAAGGCCTGGCAAGAGACAATGTATAATCATTCAGATGGGACAAAAAAAATAAAGGTCCTGTGTACACATTGGTGTGCACATAAAAGAACCCCTGATAGTTGGAATTCGAAATAAGAGTAGGCCGTAGTGCTGCTGTCCAGGCAAAATTTCACTCATTAGCCCATGCCATTTGGTGCAGAATAGTAGGACGTTAAACCCCATTTCATTTCATAAAAAGCGTCTAATTGTGGTGTTTTATTGTTTTATTCCACAGAGTTGTCTACCATTGATAGATGATTTAAGCAATCCAGCAATGAGAACACGTCATTGGAAACAACTAGTTCGTGTGACTGGTGGTGCCCTCACTATAGATAATGACATGTTAAAAAGAATGACACTAGGTGAACTACTTAGTCTCGGATTACAGAGTAAGTTTGTATTATTATTATTATTATTAGTATAGTTATTCTGGCTCTCACTTACAGTAGTGTTTACCTAATTCTTTGGATGGGGCAAAAAACTGACTTCTGTAGCTTTGTTGTGCATGTAAAGAACACTTAGATGTTGAAATGCTATTGCTTGTGCTTTCTATATGTTAGTCTCAAAATAACCAAACTATGACTTTATTTTCAAAAAAATGTTAATTAAGTTTTGAGCATAGGCATTGGTATAACTTAAAAGACTGTTTAGCAATAAGTAACACACCAATGTACATTTATTATAAGACTTTATAAAGTTTTAATTTGTTATATAAACTCAATAGCTAGGGTTGCCCACATGATCTAGGCCCTACTAAAATTATTACATAAGAGATATTTGGGCGTCTTCTCTCATTTAGCTTATTTTTAAGAGAAATTATATTTTTGATATGCTTAAATATCTATAATTCTGCTGTAGTATTTGGGTATATAGACAACAGGATGACCAGGATTAAACAGCCATCCTGTATTTCCAGGATCAAAGCCTTTTATTAATAAAGGGAAATAACTCATTTTAACTGAATGAATTAAAGAGGTTTCAGCCCACTATTTCTTAATTATATGTTACTAAGTTTAATATGACACTACTTTGTAATCTTTCTTATAGAACATGTAGATGATGTACGAGCAATAGTACAGAGAGCAGCTAAAGATTTAACTATAGAACAAAGTTTAAAAACATATGAAGAGGTTTGGTTGAGTAAAGTATTTGAGCTACGATCACATATTAGAACTAAATCATCTGCAGCAGCTGATACAACTATACAGGTATAAATTCCTATATTGTAATTTTTAAGGACTTTATTCATATACACAAATTGATTATTTATACCTATAGTTAAGAAAGCAAACAAAAATATCAGTGAAAGATAATCTTGTGGCATGCATTCAATCAGTTTGAAAAGAGGCCCATCAAGAGATTTCACACAACCAAGTGTTGGATCATAAGGCTTGTCCTTGAGTTAAGTGGTGTGGTTTTGATTCCTCGCTTGTAGGTGACAAAGGGGTAAAGTCGTCTGTCCAACCTCCTGGGTATTCTTTGGGTCCTCCGGTTTCCTCCCATTCCTAAAGACCCCCATGTGTAAGTGAATTATTAAATTATTAAAATAAGATTGAACCATATGTTAGTCCCGAAATGACTTATTTTGTGTCATGTTGAGCTTAAATTATCAACAATTAGTTTGATTAATGGCAACAAATTAATCTGACTTGCATAAAGTTTTTACCGCTTTCATTATACTGATATTACCAGTAAATAATGTTTATACACTGTTTTTATATAACAGGATAATCAGAGTGAGGTAGCGAGTGAAGTTGGTGGAACACAACAAAGTAGAAGTCAGGTTCGAGCTACCAGTCGTGTTTCTAATCAAAGCTCGCACAGTAGACTCAAACGTACCAGTATAGCATCACTTCCTGCCTCTTTACTCAACCTGGGAGAGGTATTAAAACATTTTTTGTAGATTTTGTCTTTTAAGAAGACTCAGTACCACTTCTCATTAATGGCGATCAAGAGATGTCTTAGTGTATGTTATATTGGCATGATTGTTAACCTAATATCTAAACTGTCTTTTGTCTTTTAAAAAATCTGTCATGGTCCTTATATTTCACAGGATACTGGAAGTATACAGTTGTTACTAGGTACCGATCCTATATTTGATGAATTGGAAGGCCACCAGGTGTCACTACAGACCATGCAGAGTAGCAGCGCTGCCGGTTCCTTCTTAGACGAGGTGATGAAATGGCAGAAGCGTCTGCAGACTATTGAAGCTGTTTTAACTACCTGGCTAGATGTTCAAGAAAAATGGGTGGAGCTTGAAGAGGTAAAGAAACACATTGCACTATCAAGAGAGACACTTTATTAGATCATAAGGTCTGTCATTGAGAAAAGTACAATGGTTGAATCCCAGTCTTAGATCCAACAAGGATGAGTGTCCAGATTTCTCCAACAGCTTATATAATAATGGTCCCTATGTGCAAAGAATTTTTGAAATAAAAATGTACTTTTTTTTATTTCCAAAGTGAAATTCTCTATAAAGGGAGTGTGCTAGAAGTTATTTTTCTGTAACTTTAATTTACTGAATGCATTGTGTATTTCCTGTAGATTGGGTCTTTATGTGTCAGATGTACGAAATTCAATTTCTTGTTTTCAACAATATTCACAAGAGTAAAATACTGTTATTTTAAATAAGCACTGATATAAAGATTTTAAAATATATTTCAGGTTATACAATATCTCTATATCATATTAATATCACATTCTAGGATAGATATTTTAAAATATATTTCAGGTTATACAATATCTCTATATCATATTAATATCACATTCTAGGATAGATATTTTAAAATATATTTCAAGTTATACAATATCTCTATGTCCTATTAATATCACATAATAGGATAGATATTTTAAAATATATTTCAGGTTAAACCATATCTCTATATCCTATTAATATCACATTCAAGGATAGATATTTTAAAATACTATTTTATTTTAGATTTACTCTGGAGCTGATATAAAAACATCTTTATCTCACGACGCCAATCGTTTTTCACAAGTCAATCGCGACTTCCGTCTTTTGATGAGGGCAACAGAGAAAAATCCAAATGTTTTACAGTGTTGTTCTAGAAAAAGTAAGTTTGAATATTGTAATCCTAAATAGTTGTTTTCGGTAATAATTTGTCAACTTTTTTAGATTTTTAATTTTTTTTTACTTAAAATATCAGCTGTACCAACTGGGGTAGGAAAATGCTACAGCCTATTCTTATTCCAATTTCCAATGGTCAAGGGATCTTTAACGTGCTGCCAATCCTATACACATGGCTTCAGTTATTCATTCAATTCAAACGACTAGACACTATTCTTTAGGCTGTTGGAATTAAGTTTGTAAATTTCTCTTGTGTTGTTCAAAACTGGTTCCCACTTGTCATTGCAAGTACCTGCAGGTCTCATACAAGAGAAATATTTCCTAGTTTTTTGGATGGGAAGAAAAATCAAGGTCCACAAGTCTACACACTGGTGTAAATGTAAAAGAACCCATGACAATTTGATGAAGAGTATGCAGAACGCCATACATTGCACATATGGCCATAGAAAAATATAATCGGTTGTTAGTCTCCAAATAACAAAAGTATTGTCCGACCTTTGTGTTATAGACATAGTCATTAAAAAGAAAGCAATATCTAAATAGAACAAAATAATTTGATAAAGTACAAACCATGTTCATTTATTCTTAGATGTATTAACCCTTTGTTTTTGTATATCTTAGATATTTTATCAGTACTAGAGAATATGAATGCTTCATTAGAATCATGTCGACGTTCGTTACTTAATCATTTAGAGCGAAGAAGACAATTGTTTCCACGGTTTTATTTCCTTTCAATGGAAGATGTTTTACATATAGTGTGTAATGGTAAGTTGTTTCAGTGGTTATCTGTATGATTAGTGCTCTTGCTCCTGTCCAACGGTTGGGTGGCTGATTGGTTTAACAGGTGTGCTTTTGATCAAAAGGTCTGTCATTGAGTCAAGTGGCATGGTTTGGATTCCCAAATTGTGCTTGACACGGAATGGTGTTGCCTTTCCATCTTTATCGGTTTTCTCTGAGTCCTCCAGTTTCCTTCCACTGCTAAAGACCTCTCTCTCTCTCTCTCTCTCTCTCTCTCTCTCTCTTCACATGTGCCCTCCCCTCCCCACTTCCTGGTTGATTTTACTCAATTTGAATAATAAAGTAATAAATAATTGTTCTATCTTTTTGTACTAGCCAGCCCACTCTACATGTAGGTCTTATATTCTTTTTACATAATAACAATCTTTACTTTAAAGTAGTACAGATAATAACAACACTCTTTACATTAAAATAGTACAGATAATAACAACAGTCTTTACATTAAAATAGTACAGATAATAACAGTCTTTACATTAAAATAGTACATTTAATAACAACAGTCTTTACATTAAAGAAGTACAGATAATAACTGTCTTTACATTAAAATAGTAGTTAGTACAGATAGTAACAACAGTCTTTACATTAAAATAGTACAGATAGTAACAACAGTCTTTACATTAAAATAGTACATATTTTTCACTTTTGAAATATAAGTGAATGATCTGGCTTAGCTTTAAATTGTTATAAATCATATAATTTTAACATATTCTGTGTAATTGATTTTTACCATTTTATTTGTCTATTACAGGTTATGATTTAAATCAAGTGAATATATATATAAACAAATTGTTCTCTCACGTGGATAAGCTTTTGTTCGAGGAAACGGATGAAGAAAATGAAAAGTTTAATTTTATAATAAATGGTGTTCAATCCAAAATGGGAGAGAATCTTTTGTTACAACAGGTAGGGATTTTATAGAATTACCTGAAGTGAAAGTTGAAGATGCATTATGTAAGTTTTAGATAAAGAAATGCTCCTTCTTGCTATAATAGTTTAAAAATAGATAATGATAAATGAATATATTGAAAATGCTGTCAAATTACTTTATTCTGAGCAAATTTATCAATGTTTGACAAGAAACGGTGTAAATAGTCCTGTTTGTCAAGTACCATTCCTATGATAATAAACAAAGTCTATTCTAACACGTTTAGCAAAGATATTGAAGCCACTGTCTAATCCACTCAATATCTCAGCCATCTGATAATCTAGAGAGTTCATTATGAGATTGGATGTGAATAAATGTATAAATAAAAAATTATATAACATTTGAAGCCAGAGTTAGCTCTTACGCATAATGGATCTTAAAGGTTTTTTGGGGGGTTTATAATTTTATTGATTTGAGAAATTGTTCTCCAATTTTATATTGTATGTATTGTTTTATATTTTATGTATCGTTTTATAGCCCATAGCATGTGAAGGACAGTTAGAAACCTGGATGACAGCTCTTCTAAACAGTATTAAAACAACACTACAACATCAAACCTCAACAGCTCTTCTTCAGGAAAAACAGAAAAATGTCCGTAATATTCAAAGTGCTGGTGCTAGGAAAGTTCCAGTGAAAGCTTCTCCTTCAAGCTCATTAACCAAGGTTAATAAAGGTAGGGAAAATTACAGATTTTGGTGCAAATTAAACAATATTCATGACTTGATCAAAATGTTTAATTTGCCATGTAGTCAGTTACTATTTTTCCTGTCATGAATGAAAATACGCTAAGATTGGGTGAAATATGACGTGGTGGGGGGTGGTAAAATGAACAAGAAATTAGTACAAAAAAGGAAAGAAAACTAGACTTTTTATGTGTCACTTTCTGTGAAGCCTGGTCTATTTTAATTGATCTTATCGCCAGTGCTGGCATGATATATTGTTGATTCGATGTACCGCGATTCACCTTCTCACATTTCGCGCTTTGAATCGCAAGACACTGGATCAAAGCATCATGATTATTTTTTATATTTTTTTTGTCGCTTCAGTAAGTAACCTGTCACTCTTAATTATCATGACTTTTCATGTTTGACTTTCTCTGAAGCCTGGTATATTTTAATCGATATAATCAGTAATTACTCCATTCTTGATCACCAATATCCAGTCAAAATTTCCCTCATGTCGTCTTCTATTGCTGAAGAAAAGTAAGATAGAAGTTGTAATCACAAAACTTAGTTAATAACAAATATGGCTTAACAATGCCCCAGATCATTGCACAAGGCCTGTATGAGAAAAGCACTCAATGTTGTGTTCTAATTAAGTAGAGACATGATTTAATTATTAAATTTCTTATTTCCATTGTCAGAAGAGGGAGCACCAAGTCGTGGACCAAGTCAAGAGAGTGTACATGCTAGAGGTGAAGCATCAGATAGTCGTCCTCCATCAAGTGTACAGGAAGTTATTCGAGGAACTCAGTTGGCAGAAAGATCGTGGACTTTAGATCACGTAAAAGAAATTGTTTATTTAACAACGAAGATACAATTGACGGATTATATGAATTCAGCTTTAAAAGATTTAGAACAAGGTCAACGAGAAGCTTTACAGGTTGGTTGTTGATTATTCTCATATTTACCTGGATATATGTTAGTCATCTAGAATTAACACAAAAACTTTCCACAAAAAAACTCCCATGGGACTTTTGGGTGCATTGATTTTCGTACTATTCTTTAACTATTTGTATCCAAATGGTATATAGATTAAAGATTAGCCAAACCATGATAGAACACATTGGTCAGACGAGTTTCAAGATGGTGGACTGAACAATGTCATAATTACTACTGTTAGAACCTATTCATATTACCATCTTTGACACAATAGATTATCTCCCTTAGCACATCAAATTATCTCCCTTGACACATCAAAGTATCTCTTCTGGCATTTCAAATTATTCCAAGTGCTTGCAACTAGCCTCAGGATCCATTCACTTAATTTGATATTTTTTCGTCTGTTTGTGATTTCTGCGTATTGTGTCTTGTCCGTAGATTTGTTTTGTGTAAATTATGTGTGGTGTAGTCACCCTGCACTTACTATTAAAGATACATTATGTAAGATTTAGATAAAGAACTGACCATTCTTGCTATAATAGCTCAAAAATAGATAATGTAAAATGAAAATATTCAAATTACATCATTCTAAGCCAATTTATCACCATTTGTAGTTTTGACAAGATTTATTCATAGTGGTAACTAGGGCACTGGTATATTTGAGACTTAGCCTCGCTTTTCAATTTTTAAATTAAATTTTTAAATGGCGAACCATTCTAATCTAGTTAAAATCTCGAGTATCTGATCTCTTCACGAGATGTTTATGGTCTTGTTTTGTTAATAAATGTTTAATTAATAGTTTATATAACATCTAAGACCGAAAAAAAAGACCTGCAATAGGAAGATTTGGCTCTTGCATAATGCATGTTTTTAAGAAGCATAAACAGATTGATTGAAGTTGAAAAATAAATCTTGTATGTTGATACAAAGCTTTATTGTTATTATTTATTTTGATTTATATTCTAGGATGCCCTTGAGAAAATAGAGAGAAGTATAATAGCTACAACTATACTATTAAAAGGCTTAGAAGGAGAACAAGAAAATGAAAGTAGAAAACTGAGAGCAAATACTGCAGCCAGGAAAGGTAGGAGTGTAAAGAAAATATGTCTTTTTATTAGGTAGACCTCTTGTTCAGGAGCCCAACCTGCTCTGTTGTATCTGGTATACACTTAAGTTAAACTGGTTTAAAAACCCTGTCACAGTTAAATGTCGTCTGAAAGCAACAGTGGGGCAAATAAACCAATTGAAAAACCCAAGCTCTCAAACTGTCTTTGAGAAGGATTTTCTTAAAAACTGTCTTAAATTGGCTTAAAAACACTAGCACACACAGTAAATTGTCTTTCTGGCTCAATGATGACATGCATCCTTGCATAATGAACTCTGAACTTTAACCGACAAGGTCAAAATAGGTAAACTGATTTGACTTAAGTTACATGTGAGTGCAACATTATCCTGTCTTAAAGCCTCCAGAGATTTTAAGACTAGTTAAAATATAAGAGGTTACATAGATTCACTCCTAGCCATGAAAAAGCCTGTTGCGTTCATTTTAAAACCCTCCAACTTGTTATGTAAAAAGAGTAGAAACATTCAAACTATATTAAATACTCTTTTTTTGTTTTCTTCTAGAATCACCAGGTGGTTTTGAAAGAGAACAGGACATGATGTCAGAATCAGTGGTCATCAGTGTGGCACCATCTATTAAAGGTTCAATGGCTGACGTTATGGCTGAATCTGCCAGGGCTGGGGAAGAGCAGGAAACCAATGGTATAATTTTAATCATATTTAATCCTTGAGTGGCATTTAGAGGGGGACACGGTGGCCAAGCGTGTAAGACGCTGGGTCGCTAACCTGGAAGTCGGGTGTTCGATCCCTGCATTGGCCGAGAAAGTTCATCCAGATTTTCCGGCATGATTCCCCCTTGTCAGTGACTCAGGACGGAGAGCCTGACAAGTACAGCTGTCTAGGGGATAAATGGGATGAAAAACCGAGGTCCTGTGGACACATTGGTGTGCACGTAAAAGATCCCTTGACAACTGGAATTCGATATAAGAGTAGGCTGTAGTGCCACTGTCAATGCAAAATTTCCCTCATAGCACACTGTATGGTGTATGCCTGTCTTCATTAGCCCCTTTCGGAGCAGAACAGTAGGATGTTAAACCCCATTTCATTTCATTCCATTTGTCATTTAGAGATTGAGCACATTAGAAAGAACAACACAATTTATGTGGAAAACAATCACTAGTTTATAAACATATAGCACAACGTTTCAACAAGTATACTCTTATCGTTATGCTTATCGGTTGATATGTTTACTTCTCTTCCATTTTTCCATTGTGTCCCAAAGCAAACGAATGCATGATTTGTTGTTTATTTGATCTCTATCTGACAGGATAGAATTATTTACATATCTTGTATTTGTTTCTTTTGTAACGTTTTTAAATAAGTGAAATGAAATGAAAAACATTTTTTTTATAATATTCGACAGAGTCACGAATATTCATGCATGTAATCTAAAGCCTTTGAACTTAAAAGCATGAATTCATGATACTTGATTGCATTTTGTCCCATGTCTGGCAAATTATATTAGGTAATCAGTGATGACAACACTCATCTTATACATAATTGACTATCTGGAGAGAGAGAGATATACATACATACATACATACATACATACATACATTTAAAAATATTATTTTCAGAGGGAGCACGAACAGCAGACACAATGAACCTCACCATGGAAATACAAGATATGAAATCGACAGAGGCAAAACCTGTAGCTGTTTCTACTGGTGAGGTTGTAGATGAGGTCGACAAGGTACCAGAAGACCTAAGACTATTACTGTTCCCGTGTCAGATAGATAAATTAACGTCGCTATTGGCTCTACTAGCACATCAACGCGATATGATTAGTCGTCTGATAGATGTATCACGTAACGCATCACCAGCTAAGAGTTTTGATTGGAGAAGTCAGCTACAGTATAGTTATTTAACAGACAATAAAACAGTCAAAGTTAAGGTAAATCTCTGCTTGTAATTGGTACTGAATAGGTTAATATATGTAAATACAGTTATAGTAAGACCTGTGGTTTCAATTGTCTTATGGCGTCAACTACCTTGTGATGTCAACTTTCTTGTGATGTCAACTGCCTTCTGAGGTCAACTGTCTTGTGACGTCAACTGACTTGTGACGTCATGATTGTACAAACATTTTACAGTATGGTTAATTTTCTGTTGATTTGCATTATTTCTGTAGTCAGGTCAACCAAATACTATAATATATCTATCCATTCTGTTTACTATTTTAAAAGTATATATGTTTAAAAAAAGGGTGTGTTTTAATATATTTTAAAGTATTTCTTCACATATATATAACTGTATTTATTGTGTTTGAAGGTTAATTGTATGGCATGTAAATTAAGAGACTGAAATAAGTTCTCTTGTAGTTTAATTTCAATACTAGGCAGTCTAGACTGCTAATTCTAATTGAGGTTTTGGGTATTATAATATACTAATTAATGATATTATGTTTTAACCAGTGTTTAGATGCTGAGTTTGACTATGGTTATGAATATCTGGGTGCAGCTAATCATGAGATACTGACTCCAGTAACAGAAAGAATGTTTGTAACATTAACTCAAGCTGTTAAAGCTCATATAGGATCTCTGTGTGTTGGACCTGCAGTAAGTAATTTATATACTGGAACATATTATGTTGTACCTGCAGTAGGTAATTTATTGTCTGAGATTTTTATAAAGGAGCAGTATAGAGTTGTTCAGATGGCACGAAAAAATGAGGTCCCATGTTCAAATTAGAATGCATAATGACCCTTGACAGTTGGGTCATGTATAAATTGGAGTTCATGTAAAATAACCCATGACAGTTGGAATTCGTCTAGACCATATAGCACTGCTGTCCACGTGATATTTTCATCATTGCACGCTTTATTTTAATTAACCCATATGGAACGGAAAAGTAGGACTTTAAACCCCATTTCATTTTAGATGTTTATAGAAAATTAGTGCCAAATATTTTGTTCCAGGGAGGCTACTGGTATGGGTTATTGCATTTTATCTGCAGAGTCTCGTGGATTTCATATTTTAATGCATTTCAGTTAATTAGTATTCTCTTAATGACTGAAATGCCTAAAAGTTTAGCCCATTTCTTCCACAGACCCCTATTTAGTATTACGTTTTTTAAATGAAGCTATTATATTATTTGAAAGGAGAGTGATAAAGAAAGAAATGTAGAGGAGTTATCTAGATGTCTAGGTTATCCACATTATAGTTTTAACTGTACAGCTACCATGAATCATTTCCAGTTACATGATATCTTCCACGGAATGGCTGCTACAGGTACTTGTATTAAACATTCATTTCTACTCTTGTTTTAATTTAATTGTGATTATAAGTCTTAATTATGCATCAAAACTTAAAGAGAGAGAGAGAGATAGAAATGGGGTATAACGTCCACTCAACACAAACTAAGTCATTTTGGGACTAACATATGGTTCAATTTTATTTCAATAACTCGCGTGCGCGTAGGGTCTTTAGCGGTGGGAAAAAACCAAAAGACCCGGAGGCAACCCAGGCGATGCTACTCCTTGTCATATACAACCAAGGAATCAAAAAAAAAAAAAATTAAAAATGCTGCAACCTGAAAATATTTAAGGTTTTTATGTATAAGGTGCCTGATTGATAATTCATAGTTTGAATAAGCATCTTTCCTTAAAGTTCATTCCTTTGCTTGTTAATCAACATAAAATGAACATGCTGTAGCTCTCATTGATTACCACTTGTCCAAAGTGTTGTGTGGGGGACCTTATTTGTTTGATTCAAATACTCATTTTGACTTGTAGTAAGCTTACCCATTTGACCTTAAGGGTTTTCTATGTGTTCTGCGGTACTTCTAGCTGTTACTAAGGAGTCCTGCAATCTTGATCCAAAAGGTCTACCATATAATTGTTAGTCCTGTAGAAATATTCTAACTCATTTCTTTTTTGTGTGTTACTGCAGGATGTTGGGTGAGCTTCAACAGTTTGAACTATTGTCAACCGGCTGTACTAAGTATATTCGCTCAACTTATGTCAACTGTCATGGCCGCACTACAAGCAGGAAAAGCAGCTGTACATCTAGTATCTGATGACATCCAGCTGAATCACAATGGCGCTTGTTTCGCTCACATAGACTCTGCTGTTCCTGTCACTCCCAGAAATCCAGACAAGATGTTGATTTACATGTCTGCTAGTGCCAACCTTCCTGATGATGTTCTGAAGCAGTTTCGAATTATTTCGGCTCCTAAACCTGATACTCGTTTAGCTATTGAAGTTTTGCTGTTCAGTGAAGGTAATTATGACTCATTTATGATGATTGTAAAGACAGTGATATGACATGAATTTCAATGATAACCAACTAGAAATCTGTAAGAAATATATACAGATATGAGTTATCAATTTTTTTCCTTTCTAGTAGCCTGTGCAGGATACCTATCTAGAAATGTATAACAGTGCTTGGCCATTCTTATCAAAGAAATTGAAATGAAATAAGGTTTAACGTCCTACTGTTCAGCGCCGACTGGGCTAATGAAGAAGGTCATACGTCATACAGTGTGCTATGAGGGTAATTTTGCTCGGACAGTGGTGCTACAGCCTACTCTTATATTGTTTCCAACTGCCAAGTGATCTTTTAAATGCAAGCCAATGTGTACTCGGGACCTTGTTTTTTTTGTCCCATCCGAACAACAGACAACTGTCCTTGTCGGGCCCTCTGCCCTGCATCCCTGACATGGGGAAACCATGCCGGAAAATCCTGATGAACTTTCTTGGCCAACACTGGGATCGAACCCACCACCTCCAGACTAGCAATGCACCGTCTTACTCACTTAGCCACCATGGTTCCCTCTTATCAAAGGAGGTCCAGCTGTGTACAGTTAGAAATCAAAGAAAAGTAGGCAGAAGACAGGACCTTATTGTTTTTGTCCCATCCAAATGACTAGATATCTGTCCTTGTTGGTGTGACGTAAAAATCAACTTTTGATAGAAATCAAAGAAGGGTATGTAGAAATGCTGTTGTCATGTTAGAGATCTTCACAGCAAAGGGCTTTTGACAGTTTTTAATTTTATTTGATAAATCTTATGATTCAGATTAGCAAATTATTCATAAAATTAACTTGTTCTTTCTTGTAGGTTTTGTACATGGTAAAACATTAGCTAATAAAATTCTCCAGTTACAAGATTTATGGTGTAAATTATTTGGTACTAATACTTATATCACAGAAAATGTAGCTCTAGGTAGGTTCAAGTAGTATTTGGCAATATATTATTTCCAATGAATATGACAATTTTTTAGCATTATCCAGTTATTAAAATATGTTTTAAAGTGTTTTACACATAAAAACAATAAATTTGATTGTATTTATTTCCTTATGGTTTGTAAATTGACTGACTGGTTAAGATCTCCATGCTGTCAATTTCACTGTCAATCATTCAAGGTGGTCAATTTCATGGCCAGTCAATCAAGGTGGTCAATTTCACTGTCAGACAATTAAATATGGTGGTCAATTTCATGGCCAGTCAATCAAAGTGGTCAATTTCACTGCCAGTCAGTCAAGAAGATATGACTTAAAACTATCATTGGGTACTTGGACTGATCAATATGGTTTTATCTTGTGGAGATGCATATACAGTGGACTCTGTCACATCCGACATCGTGCGGGATCGTTACAATAATTCGGATCACACAGCGTTTCGGAATACCAAGCTTTCTCCAAAACCGGAAATACTGTAACTTCGAAAACCGGAAGTATTTTTATATTGTAGCTTCGAATCACCAGAATGCTATTCCCTTTATAAATGATAAACTTTTCTGTACTTTCAAAATTTTATTATATTAAATAATTAACAATAACAATGCATGCGTACAATATATTCATAAAATCGTTTACATGTAATATCAATGCATGCGTACAATATATTTATAAATATCAATGCATGTAATCGTTTAAAGTAGTTTGCTTAGTTAAGATTACCGGAAGCATATCGTAAGGCGGAGTCCTGGGCAACATCTACTAACAAATGAATTGTTGCGATCATCATTTCGTCCTTAATCTTTGCGAAGTGTTTATTATCGTTGGGCATGCGTAGGAATTTTGAATAGGTCAAGTCTGTCGTTAATGTATATTCTTCATCGTCCCCATCTTCAGTCAACTGTCATTTATAATCTGTCGTTGTATGTCCAGTTTTTCAAGCCAATCAAAGTAAACGGCACCTGTCATTCAAGCTTTGCGATTGGCCGACCAATTGACTGGCAGGTAGATTTTGTCCACTCCTTTAAAACAACTCAAGTTCACTGCTTTACCGATCAAAGTAATCAACACAGTTTTAATCTCACCGATAATTGATTGGTGATTACTTGTTAATCTTTTCTGGCTTCACACCCTTTGAGTTTTAATCTCACCGATAATTGGATGCTTCACACCCACCGTTTGAAGTACAGATTATACGGTGTCGATTCAATGGAAAATATGTGACGGGGCGGCTGATTGATTTCGGAATCCGGAACATACAGAATTCGGATTTACCAGCGATTTTTTGGCTGAAGTAATAAGGAAATAAATCGGGACATGAAAATCATACCGGATGTCACAGCAATCCGGAGTGATCAGAGATCGGATGTGACAGAGTCCACTGTACTGTCTTTCATATTTCTTCCATTGGTCAAGGCAGGGTTGATGTACAGCAATTACTCATTGGATAGCAAATGAATAACATATCAAAATTAAGAATTCTCAGTTCGACAAACACCATACCATAAAAACTCTTTAATGGACTTAAATGACAAGTTTCTCCTACTTCGCATTTCATACGTAATGTGGTATTGGGGTGTATAGGCCACAAGATGGCCTGGATTGTTTATGACAATCAGAAGAGCTAATTAAAAACAGCCATCTTCCATTTCACTCCATCCCAGAATTCCATCTAGGATCAAAGCCTTTTATTAATCAAGGGAAGTAACTCTATTAACACAAAGAACTCAAGAAGGCTTCAGACCACTATTCCTTAATAATATGAATAAGTTGGTTTAGTAAAGGGAGTATATGACATCCCCCGGTCTCAAACAAAAACTCCGGTAATTAAAATTTAGAAATGAAACGTTAACTTATACCATGAAGCAAAATTATAGCATACACACACTATCATACTTCACTACAAGCAAATAAAATGCTTAAAAACATGAAAGTTGAACATTTAAAATATCAAATTGTCAGTGGAATTTTACAATTTACATGTCTCTTAAAATTCTTAAATTGTTGAGTACTGCTCAAACCTTTATGCAGAGGTATCTTATAAACAAACATGCGTTAATTATTCCTAAATTCAAATACAATATCAACTATAGTTTTGAACATCACAATAAATGTGAATTAGGATTGAAAATACATACATTACAAGGTATACTAACAACAAGAGAATTGTATTAATAACAATTTTGTATAAACATGCAATGAGAACATTATTAAATCACATTTTAATATTTACTCAATTTTCCTGTAATC